TCCATCTTCTCTACGAACTGGGCCCGAGTTACTTGTTTTAAAATACAGCAAATCCATCTTCTCTACGAACTGGGCCCGAGTTAATTGTTTTAAAATACAGCAAATCCATCTTCTCTACGAACTGGGCCCGAGTTACTTGTTTTAAAATACAGCAAATCCATCTTCTCTACGAACTGGGGCCGAGTTACTTGTTTTAAAATACAGTAAATCCATCTTCTCTACGAACTGGGCCCGAGTTACTTGTTTTAAAATACAGCAAATCCATCTTCTCTACGAACTGGGCCCGAGTTACTTGTTTTAAAATACAGCAAATCCATCTTCTCTACGAACTGGGCCCGAGTTACTTGTTTTAAAATACAGCAAATCCATCTTCTCTACGAACTGGGCCCGAGTTACTTGTTTTAAAATACAGCAAATCCATCTTCTCTACGAACTGGGCCCGAGTTACTTGTTTTAAAATACAGCAAATCCATCTTCTCTACGAACTGGGCCCGAGTTACTTGTTTTAAAATACAGCAAATCCATCTTCTCTACGAACTGGGCCCAAGTTACTTGTTTTAAAATACAGCAAATCCATCTTCTCTACGAACTGGGGCCGAGTTACTTGTTTTAAAATACAGCAAATCCATCTTCTCTACGAACTGGGCCCGAGTTACTTGTTTTAAAATACAGCAAATCCATCTTCTCTACGAACTGGGCCCGAGTTACTTGTTTTAAAATACAGCAAATCCATCTTCTCTACGAACTGGGCCCGAGTTACTTGTTTTAAAATACAGCAAATCCATCTTCTCTACGAACTGGGCCCGAGTTACTTGTTTTAAAATACAGCAAATCCATCTTCTCTACGAACTGGGCCCGAGTTACTTGTTTTAAAATACAGCAAATCCATCTTCTCTACGAACTGGGCCCAAGTTACTTGTTTTAAAATACAGCAAATCCATCTTCTCTACGAACTGGGCCCGAGTTACTTGTTTTAAAATACAGCAAATCCATCTTCTCTACGAACTGGGCCCGAGTTACTTGTTTTAAAATACAGCAAATCCATCTTCTCTACGAACTGGGCCCGAGTTACTTGTTTTAAAATACAGCAAATCCATCTTCTCTACGAACTGGGCCCGAGTTACTTGTTTTAAAATACAGCAAATCCATCTTCTCTACGAACTGGGCCCGAGTTACTTGTTTTAAAATACAGCAAATCCATCTTCTCTACGAACTGGGCCCGAGTTACTTGTTTTAAAATACAGCAAATCCATCTTCTCTACGAACTGGGCCCAAGTTACTTGTTTTAAAATACAGCAAATCCATCTTCTCTACGAACTGGGGCCGAGTTACTTGTTTTAAAATACAGCAAATCCATCTTCTCTACGAACTGGGCCCGAGTTACTTGTTTTAAAATACAGCAAATCCATCTTCTCTACGAACTGGGCCCGAGTTACTTGTTTTAAAATACAGCAAATCCATCTTCTCTACGAACTGGGCCCGAGTTACTTGTTTTAAAATACAGCAAATCCATCTTCTCTACGAACTGGGCCCGAGTTACTTGTTTTAAAATACAGCAAATCCATCTTCTCTACGAACTGGGCCCGAGTTACTTGTTTTAAAATACAGCAAATCCATCTTCTCTACGAACTGGGCCCAAGTTACTTGTTTTAAAATACAGCAAATCCATCTTCTCTACGAACTGGGCCCGAGTTACTTGTTTTAAAATACAGCAAATCCATCTTCTCTACGAACTGGGCCCGAGTTACTTGTTTTAAAATACGACAAAGTTAACTGCTGAATGTTCCCGGTCAAAAATTAATTATAGTTTATATTAAAATATTGTCTATTGTCTATGTTTTACTATAATGCTGGGAGCCTTGTTGTAAATAATAGGGTACATACCATTCCTTGAAAGTCGTTATTTCGGAGTGAGCAATCATTTTGTTGACTAGCGAATCTAAATTGAAATAGTCGAATATCACTCAATTTCAGTTGCAGGTCGACATCCTTAAAATTAGAGAGCAAATAATTTTATTTTGTACTCTACTTCAGTCAATATAAATAGAAATTACAGCAATTTGAAGTAACAGCATATCAAGCTATATCATACATAATTATGAAAGCCTCGCAGAGATCTCGATTAAATCTGTAAACGTACATTTAACGGTAAGATATATATATAGATAGCGCGCAATATATATGCGCACGCATAAAACCAATATGGCTGCCACACAAAGCTACAAACTGGAACAAGAAATGAAAATTGTGAATTCAACAAGCTTGGATACTATTATCCAACGCGACATTGGTTTAAGCGCATTATCGACACGTTTTAAATGCGCGGAATATTTTTGTGCGCGGCACTAGCATTTTAAATTTTCAAAATTCAAATCATAGCCAGAGTTATGGTTATTTTTCAAGACAAATTTTGAGGCAAATTTTACGTGTAAATTATTCATTTTTCATTCATGATCACTCATAATTTGAACAATTTACCTTGGATTGAATTGAACTCTTCAGTATTCGATGATTAAAACAATTGTTTTAAGAACAGAGTAGTTTTAAAGCTAAACATTCGCAATTTGTCTTAACAGGAGTCTTGGGAGAATTATAAAAATGAAATTTAAACGTTTTAGCGGCGCATGAAGCCCGCGGCGTTCGCTGGGGTGCTTACTAGATCGTACTGGATCGGCAAAATGCGCTACTAGGCCTCGCCTTAAATTACTGGGCCGCGCTCAGCCTGTCATTCCGCCGAATCTCTATTCTTCTATGTTTATGAACATAATAGCCTGAGGTCCCCCTGTCCCCAGGTAAAATTTTCGGAGTGATTTAGTACAGCGAGTGATTTAGTTCAGCGAATTTTCGGATTCGTTACTGGTTACTGTCTAGACTCGTAGTCGTCAGTATATAGTTAACAATTTTTGTGTTTTTCCATTTTTGTCTACATTAAGAGAAATCAAACAAAAAATATTGCTATAATGAAAAGTTCTATGCATGATAATTTGATGTCAAAAAATGTTTAATATTCCACAAAAAATTAAGCGAGCAAAAAAGCTAAAATCTAATTTACTATTTTTATAGTCACTACTAGTGTTAGGGGGTGCACCATAAAAATAAACATGCTCGGATTTTAAAAATTTTTGTACCATTGTTTTCTAGAGACTGTGAGAATTTTCACAATACCAAATTTGTCATACCTTTTTGGAAAGATCAGTGAGTTTCGCCTAGGTGCCAAATTTGATGGTGCGCGGCTTTTGGAGCAAAATTAGCTGTGAAAGTCGCGTAATTTGACCAAATTTGACCAAATTCGTTGATTTTTGTCGTGTTATTTGGATATATCTTCAGTTCCTTGAATGAGATCATTCTGAAAATTGGCGACGACCTTTCAATAGGGCTTTCACATCTGTCCGAAAAATTTGGTGGATATCGGAGTTGGTATAGTGATCAAAATGGGGCAAAATACGCTGCTTTTAGCTGTAACATAATGTCTGATGGTTGGATATGCTTTAAACTTTTCGGACACTTTCCTTGTAAGTCTATGAGTAAGCATACTAATTTTTGTTGCAATCGGAGGTCGGGAAGGATACTTAATATCTATTTGTTTGAAGAAAATTGTGCTGGCCGAAATTAGCGCTAAAAACCATCCTACAGTCGGCACGCGCGGCTCACTGTCGATGGCGCACTACCTACTAGTGTTAGATTAATTATCGGCGCTAACATGGCATTAAGCTTTCCTGCAACAACAAAAGCGATAGTAATAATTATCGGTGTCGTCATTTTTGAACACGTCACCTCCTCCCGCCTTCACCTCGTCAAACATCACGTTCGTGTTCCCAGGAGTTCCACACCCGTAGTTGTAGAAGTGTCCCAGTCTCTGCGAGTAAGACAGAGCTTGTCCAATGTAACCACTGATGGAGATGTCAGCGTCACACGCGGTATCTCCACAGACTTGATCACAGCTTTTCGTGTTTTCCTTTGCCAAGACAATGTTTGCATGTGGTCCAGAACCTCCAGTAGGAGTGCTTCCTCTGCAAGCAGCAGCTGCTGCCATGTGGAGAGCTTGCCAGGCGTGTGCTTGATCCAGTTCCACTCGTTCTGCCTCCATTGTGTTCATTCGGGCTGTTACTGAGGAGAAAGCGCTTTTAATTTCAGACTTGCAATCTCATCTTTAAGTTTCGATAGCTTGCCTTTGCCTCCTGCAGTCACCGCGCTGAGAAGTACCACGAAGAAAACTACGCTGAAGACCTTCATCGTTCAAGAAATTAAATTGGGAAATAATTATGAAAAGTGAAGAGAGCTCACTTCGTTTCGGACAGGAAAAATATAAATGACTTGTTTTGATGTTTCCAACTCTTATCCTTTGCTATAATTCTTATCCACAATCCAGATGACAATAAAACTTGTGACGTCAAACTTAGGAACGTTTTTTCATGTTGCGTTAATGTAAGTTGTTTAACACCTTCTCTTATATGCAATTGTTGTTCGCATAAAATTTACTGGGCGTCGCTCAGCCTGCCATTCCGCTGAATGTTTAACTTTATGGACATTATAGCCTGAGGTCCCCAGGTAATATTTGTCACCGCGCGTCTCCCCCCTGTATCGTTGAAACTCTACTATAGTGAAACGACGATGGGGGTCACGGCGTGATACAAGGTAACATAAGATCAGAACCTCATCAAGTTACTCACTAAACACTACATGTATCGACTACTGCAGTAAACGATTGATATTTAAAACTTAGAGGAGCTGGAGAAGACAATGAACTTTGACAATATTGCTCCTCAAAACTTAAGTAATTTACTGAAAGTTAGTTTTTGAGCTTAATTTTTCAACGGCTGTACACAACGATAATAATATATTACATATAAGATGTGTTTATGTTAATGATAATGGTATATTAAAGTATCATAATGACACTCACTGCACACATATCATTTACAAATTAACTCAATTAATATCGGTTCTGAATCTAATGTTAAAATTAGTATGATTTGATTTTAAAGAAGCAAGACAAGGAGTTAGAAATCACAATGATAAAGTTGTTAACTCATAACAAATCTTAATCGTATTTATATAAATCCGTTGAAATCTTTTCAATTCCGCCTCAGACATGCATTTATACATAGAATTTTCATACTTGCACCAAAAAGTTAGCGATTTACTTACTCTAAATTTAACATAAAATCGAAATCTTTAAGTGATCTGTGGTTAGCTATTATCTCTCATAGAAATCTGAGTATCATGTGACATGTCCATGTAGCGATGTTTAGCATCAAAGTCACAAGCAAACCATTTTGTTAAAAGTTGTGTTCATAAGTAGGATATAAATTAGTATTGCAAACTGCAAACTGCAAGAAATGTGATCTTTTTAGTTCTGATTCTAAGGGTCAAATCAATCGCACCAAGCGATCTTCCGAACAAAAGATCACAATGAATCTTGGAGGGCATTAAGATTTAAGGCCTGTCGATCACAAATTGTTAATTTATTGGCGCAGAAAAACTTTTGTACTAACAACTAATGGGTTGAAAGTTTTCAATCCGAATCATTTAGATAAAAACTATAGAACGAGTTTTATGTACACGCATGCGAGACTTTTTAAATGATATTTACAAAACTCAACAAATATACAACCGGCCATCACTGATTTTAATGAATAGAAGTCCTATTATGAAAGGTTATTAATCATCAAGCTGGCACAACAGAGCCAGTCCTCTCAACACCCAATGCATTTCAGGCATGTCCGAGCTGATCCTCATATCGATAACGAAGTTGGTGGAATGACCCGTGGTTGATAACACTCCTCGCCTCTCGCTCGTCTTATACACAGGACACCAGTATATCGGGCGATCGGGGATATCCAGTTTTTTCATCGGCTTCATTTGGATCATCGGCATCGTGTCGAACAGCACCTTTGGAGTCGACTCCGCGAAAACGTTTTTGGCTCTGTCCCAGCGGGCACCATCCACAAAGAGACCATTCACGTACGCACCTGCAAGAAAAGTTGTTAGTGAGTTTCGGATTTGATACAATACCAGATTAAAGGGTGCCTTACTTTAAAAGAAATTAACGTATATTGGTAAAATGTAAATAAATAAAAGCAAAAATGTACGCATTTCAATAATCTTACATTTTCCAGAAAAATCAGTTTTGCTAACAATGGCAAGCTTAGTATGTATGCTAGATGAATGAGACAATGAAATTTGTAAGCAGAAAAACGAACGCCGATGCAGCCGCTCTAAAAATTGATATGCATAGTGTGAATTCGTGAGCCGTGTGCTTGATATCTGTATCACAATTTAACAAATTCTGCAAACTAAAATCAAACTAAACCGAAAATTCACGAATGAATACATACCGTCATCAGGAGGTTTTGAAGTGTCGCAATCTTCAGCCATAACGTCATAGTCAAATGCGAGGGTATCAATGGGTATGGTGTACTTTCTCGCAAAGTTCTGTTTCACACCTATAAAACAGAAAATAATGCATAACTTATAAGTAGAATATAACAAACTAATATGGATATCATATTCATGGATATTGGCATAGTAATAACTAACTGTTCGATAAAATTGTTAAATTGAAATGATATGACCATACGTACCAGTGATGAAAGCTTGGGTGAAGTAGAAGCCAGAAACCCAAAAGACATTAGGAACGCCATCATCATACCAGTCTTGTAGGAACGTAAGACGTTGTATCAGATCGTTGACATACGATCCCATAGGTTTTAGGGAGGGGTAAGATTTTCCCATCCACAGTTCGGGAATTTTACCGTTCATAACAGCAGAAGCCACCTCCTCGAGCTCTTGTGACATCACCACCAATCCCTGGAGACAGTTGATTGATTACTTTCTTAACATTTTGTGTCAAAATATAAAATAGATTCACCATTATAATTAAGAAGATCGGGAGGTATTTTGTTCATCAATCTGATCACGAAGAACTAAAATCAACGATTAAATTTATCCTACCTTGATGGCTTTTTGTAAGTTAATCAGAGAAGATCTGACACACTCTGTAAGGACGTTAAACCTTCCCATCTCTTGGACTAGCACAGTGTTCATGCTCTGTTTGTAGGCTGTCGGGTATTTTCGTAACGCTGCCTCCGTGTCAAAGTTTTTGGGTAGTTTAGCTATGATTCCACCAGAAACCTCGCACAACATTTCATCCTTGTCAACACCTCCACCACCTCCTCCACCCTGGGTGTTATGTTTAATGTTTATAAATTGCACATACCTCCTCTAGTCCTCTCCATATAATACAGGGCATATAAATTAGAACATTTTTCATTAATTTTCAGGGCTTCTTAAAAAACAAAGCTATAGGATCAGCGAACTTACAGTTCCTTCAGTTAGCAAAATGCTATCGAATAGCTGATTTGTTTCCTTCTGATCCTTGGTGATATCTGCGTTGGAGTGCATGTTGAACACTTCCGGTTTGGTCAGAATTGGCAAACTCTTGATGTACTCCAGATACGAATCATAGTCGCCATCCTTGGGGGCATAATATTTGCCACTTTCAGAGAACTTGTAGTCAGGATCGTTTACAATCTCATGGTTGTAAAACTTCTCCAGGATTCCGATGATGACACGTCTGTCGTGACTGTCCGTTACTCTGCCGCCGTAGTTACACTCGCCAGTTAGGTAGCTGATGGCATCGACAGGCAGTTCCTGTAAAAAAGACGGAGATTGGTTAGTGCTTTTGACATTTTATTAAAAAGGTTGTTTTATTTGTTGTTTTACTTTAATATAGCTAATATATTATATATATTTATATATATTTAAGCTATAATGCGAAGAAAAGTAGCGAAGCATTAAATTGAACAATTATAAAAGCAATATATATTCGCTACCTCGCTTGCAGAAAGGGAAGGTTATATGATGACCTATTAAATTTACCTCGTATTGGTTGAGGAACATGCTAAGCTGCTGGACACTGATACGAAGATCAGTTTCGTTGAACTCATATGGAATATTCCATCCTAATGGACCAAATTGTCTCCTCTCTTGAACGGTGGCATGGAAGAAACACAGTCCGAACAATAGCTTCCTGAACGCTTGGGGTTGCTTGCAAGAGGTGAAGAACTCAGTATCACATATCGGATCAGCCAAGTAAGATCGGACCAGATTCATCTTGAGACCTTTAGGAGGTTCGTTGGTCATCTTAACACCGTTTTGTAGGATTGGCACGGGGAAATGAGGTGATGGATAACTTGTTAACCACAACCTGAACAAATTTGGGTCGTAGAAATAGATCTGTGGTTCATTTGCTTATTAATGTCAAAATACATGGACGAAACTTCTCAGAATTTGTAATCTAACTTTTAAACTAAATAAATAATAATGACGCTGTAACCACAGAGAAATCTATCAATTAAAATTTCTCAAGTCATTTCTCCAACTACTTGGATCTCACTAACGTATAATTATATCATACCCGACGCAATATGGTCGAAGAATGTTTAAATTGAAAATATTATAAATTTTTGTTAAGAATAAACCAGATATAATTATAAGAACGATAGAATGTTAAGAATTGAATCTGAACCTGAAATCAGAATGAGTGCTATCGGGAAGAAGATCGGAAGTAATTTTCTCAAGCGTTGGCATCCACGAGACAGATAAATGGCAGTTCTGTAGGACCACCCATGTTCCTTGTTTGACAGCATTCTCCAACATTTTCACAGCAATAGGTCCTTGACCTTGACCCAGTGAGAGTGATGCCATTTTTGATCCTCCAAAACCCTGACGAGATTTATTTGATGGAGATGTACACATGAAAGCAAAATTGTTGTGAAACTAACTAAAATGACACACTATCATGTTATAAGCAATCGATGATTTTGATACATGATGCAATGATTTCCTACAATTCACGGCACAACAAATAAATTGTGCTTGCCAATAGTTGCTATGACTACGAACTAACTTGATCTTCCGCAAACTTCATCAGAGCCACCAGAGGATCCGCACCGGGGGACAACACAAAGATGAGTGGTGTTACATTAGTGGAATCATTGTACGATCCGGGAAGATCAAACGGTGGAGGCTCAACGTACACCTGTCCTAGGTTATTCTTAACGAAACTCTGAACGAAGGGAGTTATCTTATCGGGTCGGAGACATCTTCCAAGGACCATCTTCTGGAACTCTGACAGATGGTCCTCCCATTTGTCGGGAAGTGGCACTTCCATAGGGTCGGAACTATCGTACAGCTTCTTCCATCCTTCTTCGTGTGCTGCTACATGTTGTCGCAACCCATCAAATGCCTGAAATGAATTGATATCAAATAAAATTGTATTCTGAAATCCGTCATTTAAAGGATGCAGGCCGTTTGCGCCAATATTTTTAGCTACCAAAAATGTTTGCCACTCTATCGCACGCAGTACCATTATACTGAATAATTTATTGTGAATAGATTTGACCTATAAGATCACAGTGGACCAGAATAGGGGCCGGCAATAGGCAGACTATATATGAGACATGTTAGTACCATCCAAATATGCTGAAAATTTGCTGAAAATTGGGTTAAAAATCAGGTGCATGTAAAAAACCTGCTAAATTAGATAAGATAGTAAGTATTTTCTATTAATAAAGCTTAGAGAGTTGTTTATAAATGCATACGACTCAGTTTAAGACATATTGAATTATAGATGCGGAATAAGTGCCGTTTTCATTGTCAAAAAGCAAAACATTGGGAACTTCGTCGCCGCGCCACGGTTGTACAGTATGAATTTTATATTTTAGTTCTTTGCATCCTGTGTTGAACAACTTTTCCTGTCAAATCATTTTAAACAGATATAAAACTGGGGAACTCAAGTTTGAGCCTAAGATAGCCTGGTGACACACTATGAAGATGGAGTCCACACAATTTTGCGGGGAGCTGCAATCAGGTCGTTTCTTCGTAAATGCATCGCACTACTATGTCGGATGCATCACAATAGATTCGAATACAAAAGGTTTTCGCGGAACCTTAGATTCAATTCCCTTTTAAAGATGGCTACATTGATTCTTGAGTCATTAAAAATAGCTTGAAAAGTTGCAGTGAGTTTCAATTGGCGAATATTTTCTACCACATCAATATTCATTGCCAATCCATTATAATGTCATGTGATCACCGTCTGAGAGGGGAGTGAGTAAGTAGGACCACTCGGGAGAGAGGTTTCATTTTTGTAGTCTCCAATATTCTCCGTTATCTGAGCCACTATTTGGAACCAACACATGTGTGGACTTCAAACTAACGTATGGCCCGAACTTTATAGATCACTAGGTTTTATCCAAACTGTGTTTAGTCGTCACAGACGATGATTTTCAATCATATCTTCCTTGTTTTAATAAATCATTTTTACCGCATTAAAGGAATAAGTTTTACAAAAAAATATGTTATAGATGTGGAGAGAGTGTCTTACAAAAGACTAACAGAAGGAACATCCCGGTTTGATCTTTCTGAACTATGCATCTTATATCGGTATAGTATTGTTTTCTATTTATTACATATTGTTACTTTTCTATCTTTGCTAGTTAATCAGGTTTTTGGGTGCCGGGCCATCCTGGTTACCCTGCTATGGGCCGTTCCCCTGGCTTATGCAGGTCCAGTTTACCCATATATATACACGATATAGTATTTGGTGAACAAATCTGATATTCAATTGCTTGATTTGGACATCAAAACTATAAATATAAACACATAAAATTATAAAAACTGTCATGGAAATCTGTTATGGGGGAGAGAGCGAGAGTGGGAGAAAACGTGAGACACTTTAGTATCACATTTGGGTCACAAAATGATCAGTTAAACCACTTACTACCGACCGATTTAAAACAAAACCTTAATCATTTGGCTTCGTCAGAGTTTTTCGGCACTATACCGAAAAAAACAGTCCCACATCTCTTACCGTTTTCTTGATTTAACGATTCGTAAATTACAAACACATACATTTATTGAGATTATTAGTATAGATAATACAGATTCGTGGTAAGATTGCTGCCCAAATTATGTGGCACAAGTATTTGATGACAGACTTGACAGTCCGTCGATAAATTTGTCGCGTCGGCGATAAAGTTCATGCTATTAATCCCTTATCTTGATAAAGTTTTCGTATGTGCGCGGAAACAAATGTTACATGGCTTCCAGCTTCGAATGATAATAAATATTTCGAACATTTTCGTCATGATAATGGATCTTTGTGATACGATAATTAGGCCTATTATGGGTATCACTATTTTTATAAAAGAATGACTAACGCGAAGGGTGAAAGTGGCACGTACCCGCGTATTATGGTGAAATTTTGTCTGAATTTGTCTGAATCTTTGTTCGAAGCCGGAAGCAGTACATTTGTTTCTGCGCACAAACTCTATCAAGACTCTGATTGCCTCACTCAACCGTTTTGGGACCAACACACGATGTGCAATGTTAGTGAGCACTGAGAAGTTTCAAACTAACATATGGCTGCTTCTTTTAGATTACTAGGTTTTACCCAGGCCATGTTTACTGTTTACTGTTTACTGTTTAGTTGTCACAGAAGAAGACTTAAGATCACATATGGCTCGTTTTCACTTTTCATAAATGGTTTTTACTGCACCGAGAGGCAGAAGTGTGCGAAAAATGGGCATACATTTTGTTGATAAAGAGTAAGACGTGAGCGTTGAGATTTGGTATGAAGTTCGGGGTGAAAAAATCTGATGTTTGAAACTTGCTAGCACCGAACCGATACGTCTGATATTCGGTCATTTAGTGGCAGTCTGAGTCAGTTGATGAAATGGTCGTAGTCTGTGATTCGGTAAATTTCAGTACTTTCGGACGTAAAGAAATACAAATTTGACGAGTCTGAATCATTATTTCATAGGATTTTTGTGCCAAGGCCCAAGATAAGTTATTTCGGATACGGCAATAACGCCCGAAATGGGCAAAGAAAGAAAATATTTAAATAATATATATTAAATAATAATAAAGAAAATATATCAAATAATTCTAAATGATGAGTATATAATAATAAGTTATTCTTGTATTTTTAATACGACAATTTTGCCAAAAATGGATAAGACTGTGAAGTGTAAGCGATGTTTCTAATATATATTAAATCCGTTTAATAGTACATATATTATATTTATAGGTTGGCTTTGGGTCAGTGGTCTATTCATGAAATGGCATTGCTGCGAAAGTTTTTGTGACTTCGCTCATGAAGACTTTCGCGTTTCCCGAGATTGTCCTTTTATACCATTTCATTTTAATTGTTTTTAACATATCTAATTCAAAGTTTGACAAGGTATTGATTTGTCGAACACTGCCAATTAACAACTAGCTATTTTTCCAACGCACAAAGAACGGGGAACATAGAGTTAGAATGCTGTGTCCTATCAATTCATGCTAACCTTGATATCAGAAAGTCGAGTAATCTCGTCCCAAGCCTTGATAGGCATCCAAGAATAAGGTTTCTTGTGAGGATTGTCCAGTCCAACACCTCCAGTCAGGAGGAACCTCCATTCTTCGTCATCTGAAATAAGGGGTCATCAATTTTTAGGTGAACTAATCATATCTTATCTATTAGCAAGGTCATGTTATTTGAATAAGTTTATTAGTTATAACGGTTGTTTTTCCTAACAAAAAAGGTTTAGAAAACAAAAAAATGTACATATCACACATACTCATGTTTCCTTTGTTCTTCATGATGTTGCAGCACATAAGGAAGGAGAAGAGCAGCTTGTCCTTCTCAAAGAGAGATCTGCAGATGTTTCTGTAGAGCAGCTCAGTAAAGTAATCAGTCAAGATCACCAAACGTTTTGCAATGTCATCGTTAGGCTCCGAGTTGTCGATAGCGTTAATAAACAAGTTAATGTACCAGGGAAGGGAGTACTGGTACATGGGGTCTATCGCTGCCAGGTCTGAGATGGTGAAGAATAGTACCGAAGAGTGGATGGCGATTGGTAGGTACTCTTGACGAGTCTCGTTGATCTTTTTCTCGGTCTCAGCAGCAATTTCTTGCTTTTCAGATATCTCATTAGACAGCACTTTAGACGAACTCAGAACTTGGATGGCAGTTTCATCCTCAAGGATGTTTCCCTCAGAACTGGACAACACCTCCAAGATCTTGTCCTCAATTTCTTTCAGCTGTTTCTGGTTGTTTGCCGATTGAACGATCAGCTCGTTTCTCTCTTCCTCGAGCTCCGGCTTCTCTCTTGCTACCACAATACCCAGCAGCTGATCTTCCAAACCTTCAGGAGTGATCATGAAGTTGAGAAGAGTGACTTTAACTGAAGTCTCTGGGAGGTAATGAGGATTCCTTAGTTTTGTAGTAACGTAAAACCTGAAGTCCTTTGAGTACTCTATGGTGGCATCGCCAAGTCTGATGCAGATAGCACCTCCTTGTTTGAAGGTCTGCTTTAGTAAAATGGGTTCCAGAAGTGGATCCAGTTCTTCACCAACATCTTCTAGCAGAACCTAAGAGGTTTTAAGGTGAGCAAATGCTAGAGAGAATATGCTAAAAGTATTCATAAATGTTAAAACTTAAAAGTATTTATATATTCGTGTCTGATCGACGTATGTTACTCTATTCGAAAAACACTTAGCAAATTTATGGTAAAATATTTTTTTTCTTAGCATAAATGGATGACTAGCAACAGGTAAATGTTACTTTAGAAACAGTATTTGCAGTTCATAAATCTCTGTTACGCATTTGCCATTCATCCATTTATGTTAAGGAAAGAAACATCGTACAGCAAAATAAAATATGTTAATGAACGTAAACATAATGCTTGTAAGAGAGCATACAGCAATTACAAATTATGTATTTACCGGGGTACCGAATTGGATGCAGTTCTCAAGAGTTCTGACATAGTCAGAATCTGAAAGTTTGATGGTGTGGAGGTTTGATGCCTTCTCCATATTCTTGATCCACTTGTTGGCTTGACCTTGAGGATCGATCATGAGTGGCCACCGTCGTGAATTTGTGATGACGATTGCATTTTCCACTGAGAAGTTATCAGTTGGTAGAGCAAATATGTTCCAAGATCGGATCTGTACAGGATCTCCAAGTGTGTTGATAACGGAGAAATCATCACCACACGGTAGGTTGATTTTCTTGCACGATTCCAACCATTCTTGAACCTGAACCTCTCTGTAAACAGAAGTAAAAGCTCCAAGGTAAGCGACAACACCGGAAGACACCAGAACATCACCAGTCAGATTGATGTACTGTGCAGCCAGTACCTTTGCAGCTGTCTGCCAACGATCCTGCTCACCTCCCAAACCGCCGATAAGTTTTTCAGCACGATTTAATTTCTTGGTACACATGTCTACTTGGACCTCTAGATCCTCCTTCTTTTTAGTGTTCTCTTCAAATTTGTCTCTTAAACTCTGTAGCTTGTCCTGGACGTCCTTCAGCATGGCACGTTTAGCGTTCAGTGATTTCTGAGCCTCAGCAAACTTACTCTCGGCAATGGCAAGAGCAGCTTTCTTTGGTGCAACAACCTTAGCCACCCTGTCGTAAGCTTCAATAGCACACACCCACTTACACAAGCCCTCTGCAGCATTTGAAGCCTGTCTGATCTTATCGGGTACAAAGTCAGGGTTGGGAATGTAGGTATTCCTGATCTTTTTGATGATTGGAGGCGATACATTGTCCTTATCGTATTCTCGCAAGCTCTGCAGGAACTTCATATCTCCGAGCACTTTCTGAGATGGCTTCCAGTAATCATCCATCTTTTTACCAGTTGCTGGATCGTTGACTCTCTCTGGTTTGATTCCCTTGAGAATGCAGATAGCTTCCATGACAAGTCTCACACCAGGCGGCGGTGACTTCATACTCTTGACAATGGTGATGTCAGAGGGAGTCAGGGTGTTAAGAGCTGACAGGGCTGCTTCCAAAATCGGGATAGCTTCTGCCAAATCAGCATCACACTCGTCTTTTATTCCTTTAGCGACGGCAGCTTGCTCATTTGCCACCACTTCTTCTGCCTTGACAATCTTCTCGGTTTTTGCTACTTCGATGGAGTCTCTTTCAATAACGATCATGATTTCGTCGACTTCTTTACTCGCCACCACAAGTTGAGGCTGTAAAGCTTGGAGGTCGCCTTGCATCTGAGATACCTGAGACCTGGCAGAATCGAGCTTCTCCAAACCGACAGTGTACCTCTTCTTCTGGTACGCTACCTTGTCACGACATTTACCAAGCAAGTTCTTGTAAGTGTAAATAAGTTCCAGATACGACGTTGGGGTTACATAGTTGTGACGATTCAACTCATTGACAAACCTATCGGATAACATTCTGGTACTTTCGTGGAAGTTTTTACAAATTTCAACCACTCCATTCCTGTGCTCATTTGAAAGTTCGACGTCCTCCAAGAATCTCTGAGCCACGATCTCCAAGGCGTCTTCGGGCCACGCTTGGAACCAATCGATAGTACAACAATTGACAAGTGAAGGGAACTTCCTTAGTCTAGTTCTGAAGGCTCCTCCAATAGGACTCATGGCGAGCACGATGTGAAGTTGATCTCGAACTCTATCAATGAACATGTTGAAGAGACCCAGGGGTGTTCCGTCTGTCTGCTTGGACTTGTCTCTTGTCCTGAAATTTATCATTTAACCACCAATTATGAAGGAGTACTTAACGAGGCAGATTTATAAAATTTGAATATCTACAAGTAACAGTTCAAAGCGCCGGTAACTATTTTTAAGATCTACAAATAGTGAAATGTGCAACGAACTTGTCGATCTTTCGCATAGCATCTTGGATTTCTTGCTTTTCGTCCTGGGGGAAGACATTTGGAACTTCGCCAGCGTTTAGCAAGTTGTTGATGTCTTCAAGGAAGCTCTCTTCTTTGATCTGCGTGTCAGTGAAGAGGAAACAGGAATGTGTTTCACTTTCAGCGCTCTTCCTCAGAATCCTCTTCAAATCTTCCCTCCACTCGAATGATGTGTAACCTTTACCTATTTCCACCTGTATATAGACAAAATGAATTAAACTTTCACATTCGTGACCCTGCTGGGAAACTCGCTTGATAAAATCTAAAAAACGCTCCATGGCAGACTATATCATAGTCTTATGAATATGTTTTAACACCGTAACCATAGTGTACCTGGAATAGGACATAGTCGGCCATGTAAGCAGCAAGTCTAGTTAAGGATTGTCTGCCAGAACCACCAACACCGACCAATAGAGCATGAGATCGGGGCTGCTTCAAAATACGTGATATACGGGACACGTGCTCGATAGCGAACCTGAGCACAATGATATCAATAATTGCATCTAAAACAAATCAGTGCAAAAACAGAAAATAAAAGTTTGCCAAAAGGAGAAACCTGGTTTCACGCTTAAAAAAAGTTAAACATCTTATATGTTTTTTAAATTCACCCCAACAAGTCTCACCTGAACATAACAAGATCCATGGGTTTCTTGCTCATGTTATTGAATTCCTCGAGCTGACTCTCCACCAAGATCCTGAGTTTCTCAATGTTCTTCACCTCAAGATAGGGTTTAGGGAACTCTGCTTTAGGATTGGAGAAATCGCAGAACATCAGAGACCTGAGGTTGTCTTCCACGACAGGCTTACCGTCTTCAGCGAGGGAGGAGAACAGAACGTCAAAATCTCGCTGCAAGCACCGCTGAGTGACCTCCTTTGTGAAGGTAAACAACCAATCCCTGTCGGAGTCAGCTACTAACCTGTCGTAGAACACCCTGAACACTTCGTGGACCCACAGACGTCTGAAGGCATCAGTGTCCTCGATGGAGGTGGTGTTGGAAAGACAACATCCCTGGATTACCCTGGAGAAATCTCGGAGATTGAATAGGTAGTGACTTTTCTCTGGGGTTGGGAGCAGGTTCTTGATGGCTCCTTTGTAGACCTGCAAAGTGGCGTTGACCACAGATTGTCCAAGCGTGTTGAACTCAGGTGGGAAGGCCTTGATGCCCAAATGCCAGGTTACAATTGAGTTGTAGATTGTAGACATAGTGGTATCGTCAAACTCGTTGATTGACACCAAGTTAAGATGTCTGAGGAATCTTGGTGAAATCTTGTTTCTACCACCTCCTGCAGGACCCATAGATCCGATGAATATAGTGTCGACAAGTTTGATGGAGGTGCAATCTTTGAGATCGTACCAAGTCCAATGATCTAGCCACTGTCGGAGTAATTCAATAGGCGGTTGTGCACCGTACGTCTCTAACAAGGGCATGTTCAGATCGTCCACGTATATTACCTAAAAAGAGTAAATGGTAGCGATACTTCTTACAAGACAGATTTTCTTGGAAACACGTGCGTCGTGTACATGCAAGAATTGTTTGGAAGCAGCCATGGGCTATTGTGAAACATTTGACCGGTCCAATATGGCTATTGAATATTGATGATCAACTCATTATATATATTCGGCTACATCAAAGGTAAGATCATTCAGAATTCAGATTCACCATTAGATAATGCTTTTGAAGCCATTATATTGTATCGGTGCTACATTCATTGCATTGGTTGATGCAAAATATTGACATAACGTCATGATTTGAGAAATATATATATTGGCTCACCATTTTTTGACCGAATGGAGGTCCGAATACTCCTTTACGTCGCTTGTCCAGTTTGCCCATAATAATATCCTGTGTCTGCTTAGCTGTCGTTTGAGCTGAGAAGTTGATGACAACCGGCTTAAATTTGGTCTGATCCACTTGGGTCAACAAATAATCCTGCAGGGTTTAAGCGTTATTTGTTGATCTAAGTTTTGTTATATTTTCATCAAGTTTCAGTACATGGTAACTTGAAGGAGATAAAATTTTATTAATACACGTTTTTAAACTGACCGAGATGTAGACGGATTTTCCTGTTCCAGTAGGTCCAACAAAGAGACAAGGTTTGCCATGGTCCAGGAACATTTTCATGAGAGTCGTGTATCGTATCGTGTTCAGAGTAGGCACAATAATTTGATTAAACTCTGCGTCTGAAGCAATTGGAGGTAATCCTTTGAGAGAGTCGGCCCATGGCACCCAGCTACCATTACCCTGAATACAGTTTACATTAGCACCTATTATCATAAAACAACGCTATAAAAATTTGAAAATCCTTGACGGCCTCTTATAGTTAACAAACAAAGTGTGCTGTTTTGCTAAACGTTTTAAAAGTAAAATTTGAAACATCTGAAGAAAACAACTGTCTATGTAGTTTTTAAATGGGCGTGTTTTACCTCGCTGACAAATTGATACTCGAAGACAGAGCCGTCCTCAGGAACAGGTGTAGCATGTTGTTTAGTTGGAGCGTCCACCATGATAAGGATCTTATATCGTCGCTTACTCTCAAGAGAAAGTCCGTTCGCCATGAGCTCTCTGAACAGAGAGTTGAAGTGTTTTCTGCCCTTTGAGTCGAGAGAAGCACCCAGAGACCAGGTGCACGCAAACATGAAGTAACACTGGGGAGATGATATTGTTAGAACAGGCCACCAAACAAACTATTTGGTTATATAAATTATACAGAGTTATAGAGTCATGATGAAGGTCAAGTCGAGTAAAAACTAACCTCAATCCATGTTGCTATCTGCTCAGGCTTCACACTGGCGATCTGAGTTGGATCTGCAATAATACTCAGCTGACAGTCGATCAGGTTCATACAGCTGTTGACAAGATTAGCATCACTTGTCGGAGAGTTCTCAGAAAAGCCTCCCTTTCTTACAAAGTTTAGGAGGCACGGGCAATATCTTGTAAACAGGTCCTTCAGTAAAGTCTTGTTTTCATCTACGATAGTTTCTGGCAGGGTGTTCAGCCAAGATTCGAGGATTGGTTCCCAGCCGAGGAGGTGAGGTTCCATGTAGACCATACCGCATCGAGACACCTGTACATTTCAGAGAATTGTCTTATAGCTCGATTGTAAAAATATTGAAGTAATCGAACCGGACATTACTTTAAGAACAAATATAGTTTCATCGCATTGAAAGGCCCAGAGCTTCGTATCAAATAAGTGTTCAAAAGTTAGCTTACCGTAGCTGGCGAAGCGACAGCGAGATCCATGGGCTCGAATATCAAGTTAGTGGTGTTGGCAAGCTGGATAATCTCACCACTCATCAAACACAACTTCTTGTTATCATCCAGTACTGTGTTCATGTTCTCAATCCAGATAGCATCTACTGGTCCGTCAAATATTAGCCATTTTCGATCAGGGGTCTGAAGCAAATCAGCATTTAGACGGACATGTTGATTGCACAATTGTAATCTCAAAACCATCGCACTCATCCAGAAAGAACATCAGATTTGACACAATTTTTGAAAATATCAATGAAGATGAATAAAAGAATTCTATTCAAATAATTACCGTAGATGAAGCGAAGTTTCGGTAGGAAACAGCCAAGATACCATCTGACCACTCGTGGGAGACAGGATCGAAGGAACCATACAACTCACCCATGGTTATAGATTTAGGATTGATGACCGTTATTTGGACAACGTTTTCTTCCATCAGACCCTGATTCGGTAGGGAGAAGGGCTTGGAGGTGAGCGTGAGTTCGAGACATGACAAAGTTTCATCCTAGTTAACTCGTGCAATGCTTATTTTAAGAGAGAGAGGTTGCAGAGAGAAAGAGAAATAAAGACATATTTTTTTAAGGCAAAACATTCGCATGAGTATCGAGGTTTTTTGAAGGTAAAATCTTTCTAGAGAGTAAAAAGTTCAGAAGTAAGGTAAAGATAATCAGTGGTATCTTACTCACCTTCTCAGCAATATCACCGAGTGCCTTAGCGAGGACTCTGTAAGACGAGGTTTTACCACCAAACGGCTCACCAACTATCATGAAACCGTGCCTCACCAACATCATCTCGTATACCTGTTGGGATGTAAATTAAGCCTCCTTGACATAGCTAGTATAATATTAGTGGCATGAAAGTAAAGAAAATGGACTTTATTTCTCAAAAAGACATAATGCAAAGATAATCTTAAATTAGATGATGAACCATCAAGGATCCAAAACTTGCAGTATTCTTTTAAACCTGCAGTATTTTCATACCTGCAATATTTTTCAAACCTGCAATAATTTCTATACCTGCAGTATTTTGTCTAAGAAAGACTTGGTCATCTGGAGGTTCATTTCTTTACAGTTCTTCTCAATAGCCTCAGTCAAGATACCGTAGTCCGGTTCAGGTAGAGTGATTCCAGGGAAGAGATCTGATGTGATACCCTGCAGCAAAAAGAGAATGAGCTATATTTTTAGATATAGCTGGCTCATGCATAATGAATATATGGAAATATATTTATAATAGATATATTATAAATATATGTATGGAGCATCAAATAGAAAATTGAGATCATCAGCAGCTATTTTATTCCGTGATATCACGCTGACAAAGAAAAGGAATGGAGATGTGAAGGGTTATATAAGGGTTATATATTAACTTGAAAATAACCGCAAATCATACCGCAAATAGAGGCAGATCGTGTCCCAAGAACTTTGGCAGGTTAACATCGTTAATGGACCGCAACATGAGAATAGCTTCATCCGCATCAGGGTATTTGAGTTTCAGATTAGCAGCTGCAGTCAGTACAGACTTGACAGCCCTCATACCATAATCGTAATGCGCTTGCGAAGACAGCTGCTCGGAACAAAGCGTGTAGGTTGCGACAATCTTGACGGAAAGTGGACGGGCGTTGACGAACCCAGATGAGTAAAGCATGATCTCGGCGATCATAGCATAATCCGGCACCATCATTGCCACTGTCCGGAAAAGAGCCTTGAGATTGTCGGGCAAATCAGAGCGACCAGCGTAACCGGGGTTCATTGTGATAAACACTGCACAGGAGGGGTTGATGTTCAGTTCTGTTCCCTCAAACACGAACGTTTCCGCTCCACTACCAATAGCTGAAAAGAGATATGATGTTATCGGTTACAAAAAGAGAAGACAGTTACATGATTACGTATACAAAGAGAAAGATATTTATGTTACTGTTAGGAGAAATTCTATTCAAAAATGGATAACCTCTATCCGTTTACCGTGAATGTTATTGTTACCATTAATATTATAATTCAATAATTCGGATGGCTGGCCGCACGTTATTTTCTACTTCAACCAGTAGAGTATGTACCGACAGGCACAGTGCACACTGTGCACACACTGTGCACTGCACAGTGTGTGCACAGTGTGTGCACAGTGCACACCTGTACAGTGTACTTCGACATATAAGTTCAATAGTTTGTTCTTTGTAACGTTGTATACAAATTCTATATTAAGCATAATAGAGCGTGTGCAAATTCATAGCACACCTCTTTCAAAACAATTTCTTCTACGAAAATCAACCCATTTGGTCATGTTGCTCCAACCTCAGTGAGACAATGCATTGTCTTGCAATTCTGCAATGGTGCAGAATTATCACATGTTACAAATTAGCCGCGTCAAACTTTTGCAACAGGTTCGCCACCACGTACAAAAATATTTTTTTATCAATTGTGTTCACAAGTTAGAGGGAAGGGGGAACTGAAATAATAAAAACTGCTTTTATTTGGTGACCAGACGAACTACTACAGGGTGGGCCAAAAGTCAGTACCCATACGTTGGCCTTAATAGCTCCGCCGTGTTTTATATTTGAGAGCTGTTGCTTTGCAGATGGCATACTGTACTTACTGGTTCGAGGATTCCGTCGTCAAAATTTGAAAATTCGAATATTTTAGACCACGCCCATTCAATATTAAAACACCTATATTGTTTTCTCTGAACATGCTGAACGCCTAATTTTTTCAGAGACGGTAGATTATCAAATGTTGCATATGATCTGAAAACATAAGGCAAAACGGATTAGAAATGACGAAGTTATCAAGCATTTTCTGTATCTCGTTAACAAAATTGACTGGGTGATTATGTGACACCGTGACACGACACCTTAATTGGGCACCCTTAACAATTCCCATAATGTTTAACGGGGTAGTTATCACGTGATTAGGTAAACCAATCACCTGATCACACGTAATGAATAAACTCGTTATGCTTCATATCTCGGTCATCTGAGAAGCTACAGTTCTAATTCTTTCAGGACAAACGTAATTCGAATGGCCAAACACAATTCAATAACATTTAGCTTGATCCGACTATCCAAACTATCAAATAAATGTGAAAATGAACCTCCATTTGAAAAAAAATGAACGCGAATATTTTTCGAGTTGACAAAGTCCTCGAACCAGTGGTGGTACTAAGTCATACCAGAAAGAAGTATTTAAATTGGGCACTCAGTGACTGAGCTATAAAGGCCAACGTATGGGTACTGACTTTTGGCCCACCCTGTATAATTCTGGATGATGAAGTTCGCTATTCATTCAATTCAATCAATTGTTCTGTTCTTGACCTGACATGCGTTATTTTATAAACTTAACTTAGTCCACTTTTGCTAAAAGTGCTTTTTAAAACCAAGTTAACTTTCTACAGTTCAAACCTCAATTCCAATATTTAGCAATTTTTTTCATTTTGAATAAACTAACACTATAAATCTACCAGAATGTTATTAGGATAGAATGGAGTTTCACAATACGGTAAAAGAAGCAGCACCTTCGGCGCGATTAATAGTTCCTGGTCTGCCATACATCACCACCTCCTACCACGACTCCTTTACAACTCCTGAGCAAGATGGTAACGGATCAATTTCAACAGTCACAACCTTCGTAGCGTCTGATGTTCACAAATATTCGAAAAATGTGAGAAGTAACCCGGGGATTTCACCTTACTTTCTTGGCAGCATCTCTCTCGTAAACGTACTGTGTATCGTTATCTTCATTCCAGTCAATCTGACGATATTACGCAGATTCCGCCAAATATCAACCAGGGATCAACCAATGTTCCTTTTCTTTGCCGCTGTCCAGTGCGTATGTATTGTGGACTTGTTTATCTGTACTTCAGAGACGATAGTGCTATGGACAGCTGTCCCACAATGGACTTGTCAAGCTCTGGGTACTTTGAACTTATCGGTTTACTTCTTCTTATCTATCGTCATCGCCTTCATCTGTATTTACAGGTAAGCAGCTTGTAGAACCATCGTTTTAGTTATATGACATAACTATGATTGGGCTCAGGTGCAACTTTATTTTCACCATGACAATAATTTAACTTTTTTGTTACAACCAGGCCAACTCTCAACTTGTTTGACCTAACTATCTTCCTGTCGCTGTCCGATCATGATGTGCACTAGCTCCAGTTGTTAAGGATCATGTCCGCTAATACTTTATGACACCTGACTTAATGACACGTGATTAAATTCGTGACACGATTCGTTTGTCTTAAAACAAACAATATGACAATTTTATTGACTTCATAATTCATCAAGCATTCGTTTGTCATGACAAATAATTATTTCAGGATAGTTGCCGTGACGGTCCCGCACCAGTACAAACTGATTGCTCGAAAGATAACAATAAAATATCTGCTGGCTGGAATATTCGTAGTCTCACAAGTCATACCAATTGTACTTCAATTCAGCAACTTAATACACTTCCAACACATTCCTCTCCCAAGACGACTGGGTTGCACCCTGGTCCTCACCAAGAACTCTTACTACATCTACTTCTCCATCTTCTTCGTCATAACCTTCGGGATAAACTTGATATTCTTGGTAACGTACTTAGTGCTTCACCATAACTTCAAGTCCATCATCAACACCTCAGCCGAGGTGTCCACCCTCAAACGGGGGGCCCTGGTTATCACATCTCTGACTGCTGGGTCATATTTCTTCGGGTATTCCCCCCTTACTGCCGTCTACATTATCATGTGCAGCGCCCCCGAACTCATCTACAATATGTCACCTCCCTACAACTTGGCCCTGGACTTCCTGCTCCGGTTCATGCCCCATCTCAACTCCTGCATTATTCCCTTGTTTCTAGTGAGCGGCAAAACCATGGAGAGACTCAAACTGGCAGCTTACATCACCAACAAGTCCTTCCGACAGTACAACGTGCAAGTCAAGTATCTGTCAAACGGGAGCAACAAAACCGGGAGCAACGAAAACGGGAAATCCGTAGAGATCAAATTGGTAAGGCGAAAGTGATTAATTATTCTCTAAAGTATCTAATATTCGACCTGAAATCCAAGTTGGATTTATTGTTCTTAACATACCTGCTTGAATAGTTAGAATCTGTTGAGCGACCACTGACAACACCTCCAAGTCGATACGGTTAAACTCGTCGAAGCAAGACCAGGCACCACAAGAAGCGAGACCCTTGAAGAACTTTCCAAGGGCAAGATAATCTAAACCGTCGGAACAGTTGAACACAACGCACTGTTTGGCCACTGCTTTTGCCAAATCTTTGGTGGTTTCTGTTTTACCTGTTCCGGCTGGTCCCTCAGGGGCACCTCCCAAAAACAAGTTCAAGGCACTGAACAGCGTTCTGAAAGAGGCGTATAATTACTTTCATTCCAACACAACTAGGAACCAATACAAAAGATCCCATGAACATTTATAGGGAAGAATATTTTGTTGTGTCAGACAAGATGGTACCTGTAGCAACGATCAGTGAGAGGGGTGATGACGAGTCGGCCAGAGTTACCCAGGTATTCGTACCCATACTTCAACTCAGCGTTTATCATCCGGGTAGTCATGTTCTCCTCCTCCCAGTAATAACGCAGCTGACTCAGCCATTGGAAATCGTTCGCCCCCGACATTCCTGAACCCTCTTTGGTAAACAAATGTGAATATTCTGCTAGTTATTATTACTTCAGATTAGCTTTTGATCAGGATAGAAAACCCTTAAAATTAAAATGATTTCCGAACCTTTTTCACACAAATCTTTAAGCACGTCCCTAGCGTGGACATCAAGTACAACCAGAGCTCCGAGAGTCACACGGTTCTGCATGTTCAGCTTTCCTCGGACCAGCTCCACAATATCATCGATCTGTTTGTTGTTGAGCTCGTAGTACTCGTAGAGAGCTTCAGGACTGGTGGTGATGGCTTGAGTCACGTATTCCGTCCAGTAGAGCTGTGAAACACACAGGACTGCTTGACCAGTATGCGCTCGTACCCAATCTATACGTCTCGTCTTTGTGTACTCATCCTTTGACTTGATAATCACCTGACGAATAAAAATCTTACAGGCTGCATATTTTGTTGTTTTTAATTTAGTTCTGTTCAAATTTCTTTCCATTTCATAATTTTTGCTGCGTATCAGCTGCTTGATTTTCTATAACATTATATCTGTACCATAATATAATGTTTGTATATTGTAGATCATAAGCGGATCCAGACCCATCCAGACCATACTTTATTTCTGAAACATTTGATTATATTTTTTAAATTGTCCAAAATGCCAAACTCATTCATATCCAACTCTTCAATTTTACCTCGCGAATGGATCGGAGCATGATACCCTCTAGCTCTAAAAGCCACTTTTCAACAGCTCCACGAGCTTTTGCAGTTGATATAGTCTCCAGCAGGGGAACCTGGAATAATACAATCAATATCATACCAACATACCAACATACCAACATACCAACATACCAACATACCAACATACCAACATACCAACATACCAACAAAATCTCAATTCCTCAAACAGACAAAGAAATAAATACGCACGTTTTCACCCTCCGAACTGTTCATATGGGTGATATCCATTATGTCGGTGAACTTTAAAGTGGCGATGCCCTCGAAACACTTCTTCAAATGTGGTTGTACTCTGAAATGTTGGATGTTTTAGTATTCTTATGAATATCTACGCTACGAATAACTTTTCTGCATGTCTTAAACTTTCCCTAAATTAAAGCTGACTGATAAATATGAAGCTAATATAATCGTAAATGGTCTTACCTTGTAGGGTCTTTGGTCTCTGATAAGATTTCTAGCAACTCATCGTTAGACAAGAAGAAGAATCGAGGGAAATAGAGCCTCTTCTTTTCCAGATACTCATTAAGACCCTTCAAGATCAACTCTAAGAGCTCGTTACTCTTCTTCAGCCTATCCAATATCTTGTCTATCTCCAGTACAGCCAGCACGTGCCGGTCTTGTGTCACTGCTTTCATGATATCTCTCCAGTTCTTATCCACAGCGTTAAATCGCCTGTCAAAATTATTCCAGTTTTAACATTTGAAGTGCCCTCACATCAACTATTAATTTAAATATTTTGGGCGCTTATTCGACGGTTATCTCAGCATAGCAGTTCAGCAAATTTAGGCCCAATAATGCAAACAGGAGAGGGATGCTTGATCTTGAGCTAAATGATGCGGTGGTTAAATAACAAATATCTATTCACTCTCCCTTGTTGCCTTTGATGTACCCAAATTTTACGAGCAGGAACAATGATCTTTAAAGTTCAGCGACATTTTTGGTCTTGAGTCAGCGCATTTTCTTTACAGTCTATGATTTCATGTAAATATCACCACTGTGTGATACGATTGTAGCAGACACCGAATAAGGAAAGGTGGGACATTATAAACTAGCCTCACACAGGGACAAAAGGATTTCGCGATTATTTTGGCCAAATTTCGCGGTACCGCGAAATTTAACAGGCTATACATTAAACTACACATAAAATTTGTCGCGGAGAATGGGAAATTTCGCGATTTCGTACATGCCGCGAAATCCTTTTGTCCCTGGCCTCACAGCACCTCATCAAAACAACACTTTTAGGACAATAGAGCTGCGAGAATCATCATTGCTCAATACTTATTACTTATAGGGCATAATAATATTGGCTATGATCTCGATAAAGAGTTGAAATAAGATTTCTATCAAAACCTTGATAAGGAGCCATTAGTCTCGCATGGCTGGACCATTTTCGGTTTTTTTATTAAATTTAACGAAAAAAAGCATTATGTAGCACATTAACCCGCGAGTAGAGAATTCGAAACCTGCTCGGTACGTATCAGCAACATATGCTATCTAGCGGACCAGGGGGTACCTAGCAATCTGGGACCCTAGATATACCATACGACTGAAGTGGCTGCTAAATTTATGGCAACGACACTTCATAGGGTAGCACGCTCTGCACTCCAGAAACACACTGTCCCTAGATAAAAATTAAACTTTAATTCAAATTGACATAAAAGGTTATCTTGTGTTTATGTGGCTGGAATCTATGTAAAATATGGGTAAAAATATATTGGAGGAACACATTTTCATTCCTAACCATCAGTTCAAATGAAAGCTGGTTTGGACTAATACACGAGATCTCATAATAACCAATCCATTTAAACCAATCCATAACCGAACAGACAGACTAGAGAAGATCACGCACCTTCCTTCTTCGGGCATTTGTGCCATGATGTCAGGAGAGGAGAAGATAGGCTCCAAGTAGAGCCATGTAGCCTGGACTTTCAGCCACTCGTCTATGATCTCCTGTAGCATTATCAGCTTTTCCTCCCAATCCCTGAGAAAAATCAGTTAAAATTACTCGATTCAAAGGTGTCCATTTATAAAAAAATAAAAAGCAACGTGCGCTTTCCGACCACCATGCTTGCTACGAAGTGAAGTATTTAAACTTGCCTGATCTCGCCTTCGAAAGGTTTGATGAAAGGTGAGCCCCGCATAGTTTGAGTTTTGACGATCTGATCGTCTAGAATGTTCTGAACATCATCAACAGAAGACAGGATGTACGTTCCAGTTTCACGATAAGGCAGTATCATGAACTCCATCTGAAACAGATCATGAAAATTCGGTTAGAAAGAATGTTCGGTTATATGGAAGGATCTTAAAAATGAAAATGAAGTTGAAAGTGAATGTGACAGTGAAATGAAAAAGGAAATGAAATTGAACCCCTGTGCTTTGAGTCGCTCCCTCTTCGCCTTCTCCCGTTTCCTCTAGGCCTGGTGGCGTTGGGCTACTTCCTTTTGACGGCTATTTAGGATTGTGTGTATGATGTGTGATCAAGGTGTGTTATTGTAGTTTAAGAGGATGGATAAATTATCAATAAATCAATAAATTAACTGAGCAGGTTAACATGTATAGTTACAGAGAAACAATCAAAGATAAGATATAAATGCCCAAAAATCACTTACATCGGTCCATTCCTCCACCATCTTAGCCATAGCCTTCTCCAGACCGAACTCTTTGGTTGCAGCTTCACTGATACCTTCAAACTTCTCCAAATATGGTTCCAGATTCAGGTCTATCATCTTTCTCAAAGTGGTGTCCTGCAAATATCATGAAGTGGTTTACGTTATACCAAGTTGTCTCGCTTTGCTTTGGTAATAATAATATTACAAACTATAAGTATAATAGTATACAAACCTTGACAAAAAATGGAAAATGGATGTATAACTTACATTGTCAGGTTTGATGCTGAACTCTACTATCTTGGACATTTGCTCCCAATGACGATCCCGCATACCCTTGTTACAGATGCATTGGATCAGCGGAAGGTTCTCCTTGAAGTCAGTTACCTTTCCTTTCATCTGGGAGAGAAAAGTTTGGTAAATTAATCTGATTTAATTTAGAAATTTAGTTAATTATAAACTCACACAAACAAAGATACAACAAGGCTATTTTATTTCAAATCGGACGCACAGTATGCTTCACTTTGACACTTACTAATACTTGTATCGCTTATAGTTGTTTTAATGGTAAAAAAACGAAGCAATTTGTCTTAAATGAACGTCACAGGCAATTACGCAATAAAAAGCTTTACAGTACAGTTATGGTTATGGTGCTCAGTGTTAAAATGGAAATGTTCAAAATTGGCTCTTTCACGAATACAGCTGCACCTGAACTAAATATCCCGAACACAACAAACCTTGGCAGCAATATTTTTACCGGCCACGCCTTTGTCCTACAAAGTGAAAGGTTGAAATATCTAAAAGTAATTCCGTAACTTTTAATCTGGTCGTTAAAGCCCAGCAGGAGCAGCAAGCTCTGCTTGATTGATATTTGTCAGAAGTAATCATCACTTACTTTTAAGGCCATGTTCTCAGGGTTGGCCTGGTTTGCAAAGGTCTTCTCTAGTTTGTACAGAGTCCTCCAGTAGTTACCAACTTCCGCATCAACATCGTCTGGATCTATTCCGTCAAATGAACCATCCATCCAATCCCTAAAACAGTATCATGTACTCATGATGCAGAAACTTTAAATTGTAATCCGAATGATTAAACAACATCAAATTTCCTATTTAAAATCATATGATTAATGAAGTTGAAATTTTAATGTCGATTGAATCGTAACCGAACGCACTTGTATTTAGTTTGAAACTCGACAGTCGTCTCGTATAGTTTGTGGTATGGTGTAAGGACGTCCATGACCTTCTTACGAAGAGGATACTTAGTGGTCTCCCATTCGAAGGCTTCCTCTTCCAGGTTGAACTGTTCAATCTGAGACGAGATGTTATATTACCAACCTACACTTTTGGTAATCTGTTAAACAAGATATGTAGAAACAAGGGGAAGTTAGAAAGTAAACGATGTATTCAGTTGAAATACCTTTTCTTGAGCAGCTTCAAGCCGGGTGGTGAGGGTCTGGGCTTTTTTGAGGTACCTGTTAACCTCAGCAACATCTCCAAAGGTTTCGAACTCTTCCAACTGTTTGTGATATCCTTCGAGTTCCTCCACAAACCTTTCTCTTCGTAGCTGTGGTATTTGGGGTTTTTAATATTCGTCCATTCGATTTCTTTGGACTGCTAATCATTATTTAAAATCTTTTCAGATTGTAAAACTTAAGCTGCGAAAGGGTTCGTAGCAACTACCGACCTTGAGAGCATTTTCAGCTTGTCGTTTGCTGGCGTTGATGATTTCATCGTGCTCCTCAAATATAGGAGGCATACGGCTGTGCCAGTTAAACGCCTCAGAATTCAGCCTCATCTCGGCAGGACTCATTGAAGTGTAGTCAACTAAAAATTCTAGACGTTTCTTTGCTTGGATAATACGTTCTTCAAGCCCAAATATTCGCTCTTCTCGAACGTTTATGATGTAATTCTGAAACAAAATCGCAAAATGAACATAAGCATGATAAGGATAGATAATTCAAATTATTGAATGATTAATATTAAAAACCAAACACTAAAATATCTTCTGATAAAATTGTAACATCACGATTTGTTCACCTTTAAGTCCATGAGCTGCTCGGTATTAGCAGGGGTAGCCAGAGCTTTACTAGCAATCGCTTCGTATTCCTCGCACAAGCTGCAGAAAATAGTAGATCAGACACAAATGGGGATTAAGAATAGTTTCTCTGACCTATCTCTAAAATAAATCTGAGCAGAAGTTGCTGAATTCAAAATTCAAAATGAATTATTTATTTCCAACTAAAACCAACCCTTTGTTGAGATCCATGTTAGTTTTGGACATTTTGATGAGGATTTTAGCACAGAGACTGTCAGCCCTCTTGGACAATGCCCTGACCAACTCATCGCAATGCAGCTCAAACATTCCCAGTCGGATAACTTTGCGGGAATTGTAGACAATGTCGTCGGCTAACTCCTTGAACCTTACAACTTCAGCTTTCATGTCGTCGAACTGTTGGTCCTCCGAAAGGAACTCCTCAACAAACTTATCTCCCTGAAAATTTTAGAGTTGTCAATAATTTCGTCATTATCGTTAGTTAATACTCTACTTATGAATAGCATTAATATAGCTCAATTAGTTAAAACTTAAAGTAGATGAATTTAAAGGATAGGACTTTAAATGGGGAGTAAAACGTGGTTAGATGAAATGATTATCTGCTGCAGCTTTATTCCGAATAACGGAGCGAGCGAAGTTGTCGAAGTCGTAGTACCTCTTTGTTGATAAGAAATCTGTACTTCTCGAACACTTTGGTATGTTCTTGTGCCGGGACAAATTCTGTCTGAATAACCTTCTGAACAGACTCCTTCATCGCTACGATGTGGTTTTCAGCAATCACAGGTTTTAGTGTCGCTTTTGATCTGGCTCCCTGGAGAACAGCTAATTTATAACGCAAGTTTCGAGCTAAATCATAAATTTCAGGTCCCAGGGGATTGCTTTCATTAAAAGTTAAACTTACTAAGTAACCACAATTTTAACAAATTTCCACCTAGAGTGATCTCAGATCTTACCTCTACAGGGTAAAGTTTAGTCTCGACACGAGGAACCATGCTGACAGCCTTGATAAACACGTCGAACACATTCAGCAGAACTGTTTCAAAATCAGCAAGGGAAGGCTCAAACTTAATCTCCACACCTTCTAGCACAAGCCGGACTATGAATCCTTGGAAGTCACTCTTTCTAACTACATCCTGAGGTAGAATAGTATTGATAAGATACTTGGTTACAACAATTCAATGCCATTTTGACAAAAAGTTAGATATTATTATGATTCAAGCAAAATACGGACGTGGTCGTTAAAATAATAAGCAATGGGTTGTCAGGTTTCTTACTGGAGGAGGGCAATAAAGCTGCTGGTAATCCAAGATGGAGTCCATACAAAGAGACCTGAGCTGTGAAGTCATCAACACTCCCACAGAGTTGAAGAAGGCATCGAGGTGGGTGTGGGTGATCTGCTTGCTCTTGTTCCCTTGGTAGAATATGTTCTGTACCTCAGGGAACCATCTACAAGAATTCGTGGTTATTTTAAAGTAACGCTTTTTAAAGGAACCAATACAATACAAATTTCTTTAAGAAACATCCATTCGAATAGTTTCACTGTCAAAAAAACTTAAACACTAAACAGTGAACTTGGCGGGCACTTACTTCTTTAGCAAAGTGTCTTTAGCTGCCTCAACGTGTCTCATGCAAAGGCTTTGGAAGTTGTTCAGTTCGAAACTCTCTGTCCTCATCAGGATCTCCTCGACTTCTATCAGTCGAAAACCACTGTACGAGAAGGTCTTATCAAATACAGATGTACAAACCGATGCTGTTAACTTATACATGTTCTAGTTCGTTGGGAACTACAGGGGGGGGGGGGGGGGGGGGGGGGAGGGCCAAAACTATATAGCCTTGATATCATTACAATTCAAATCGTCAGGCGTCAGCATGATCATTATTCGTTGCTTACCCGAAACTGTGGTTCCAGGAGTCAAGGACAGAGCACATGGTGGGATTCGTTATGTACAGAATCTTTTGCATGGATCCCTTAGCTGCTATGAACGATTTCGCCCATGGTTTAGGGACAACTCTCAGCCTGAAAAGAGAGATTTGATCATTTAAAAATAATAATAAAATTAAAAAAGAAAATGATAGTTCGTGAAGCGTGTGTAATAGTCTTGTTTAGATTCACTTATCTAAGCCACATTGAATAAACGAATATTTAAAATTTGGTACAAATCTTTCTGTCTCATACAACTTCCCCATTTGCCTACAGTTGTCTATTTTTAAACAATTGCCGCAAATATCAAGAACGCCGACTGCCAACACTCGGTATCGATCTTATAACATGTTACGATTCGAAGAGAAGTGAATAACAGCATTTCGAATGCAAGAATTTTAAGTGTGCACGTTAAAGAACATCATGAAGTGTGTACGAAATTTACTCTTGATGTTAAGTCGACCAAAATATGTACGAGCGTGCCATTCAAATGATGCACTCGCTGCGCGCAATCTTGGCTTAGCAACTAGTCAACTTTTTAGCGCCACACGTAAATCTTACTAAGTAGACCTCCACTCCTATTGAGTCTTCTCGAATTGTTCCAAAATGAGGTTGTCGAGAAGATGTTACTCTTTACAACCAGACGAAAAGTTACAGATTGTAAGTATTACTTCTAACGTGATTGATCATGTAAATTTATCAAAATGTCTAACGTTTTTTTAAAAATCATATATCGAAGATTGCCGCACGAGCCACAATGTGAGTTGTGTAATTTTGGAATTTAATACTTCTAAATGCAATATAAGTTATAGTAAAATTGGATGAACTAGGGTGACATTGTTATTCAATTATCGTCAAAACAAAAGAATGATGCTTGTAATTCAACGGGCAAATCGTTAGGTGATAATTGTTTTATTAAAAGGTGAATATTGCTAGGTCCTCATAGCCATGAATTCGAATCTGTGGCTCGAGCAAGTTATAGGTTGTAACAAAATTTGGTTTTAAGATCAAAACATTCTTAAGTCACTATTTTATAGTGTGGTTTAAACCATGCTTGATTTAAGGACCTCTTTCAAGCAAATACCACAGTCCACAGACCTCCTTCAAATTCATTATATTTATATGAGGACGGGGGAGAAAAGATCACACCCATCCAGCTTGATGGAAAATGGACCAATACTCGATCCTATGAAACACCTTACCGTGCCCTGCATGTTTCATTGAAATGTAGCAGAATACAAAGCGAGCATTTTCAACGTTACCATTCCAGAAGTTATGTACTTGCTAAATTTTCTTATTTTGCGTGTTAACTTCTTTTCGGATAGCCACATCAATGAATAACATAAGCACAGTGTCCCTACACTTGTTATTACTCCTGATTCGTGAAGCCTCGGTACCAATTCAACCTATCGGCTGTCAGTGAAATCGATTACCCCAAGGGAAGCAATGATGTAATTGGATACTTAACTAGGACATAGGCCGTAATGGATTCGGTGGGCCACTGGCAGTGGCCACATCGAGTGTTACTTATTTGTTAATTAAGCAAATTTGGAACCGTTCACTGGGGCTAATTGAATTGTTGAGATTGATTTATTTTAATAAAGACCTTTAGTAGCCCTCTTTCTAAAGTATGATGTAGTTTGGTAGTCCGCATTTTGACAACAGGAGTTATTCTTTATTGTTGCCTCGTGTTTACAAAGACAGAAAGATAGACTAAGAGAAGCTGCACTGATATTATGAATACCAATGTTTATAAAATCAGATACTTACTCTTTCATGATGGGTGTAAGATTTTTATCCTCTGCGTCTTCCTTTTCCCGGGGATCTCTCAACACAAAGTCCACAATAGCTTTCTTGACACTTAGAAGATAGTCCTCCCTCATTTCGTCAGATAACAGCTCGATGTAGTCTGCTAGTCCGTCCTTCAGTTTGTTGGGAACCAGACTCAGAACGTTGTCCAGCCAGATGTCCTCCATCGGAGCAACATGTTCTGTGTCTATTCCATTTTGTATGTAGTAGTAGTACCTCTGAAATGTTTATGTCATGATAACTCAGTATAATCGTATAAAATAACACTTGTACTCCGTTTGAGGCAAAGAAAAATTTAAATCTATAAAATGGAAAGATAAAAGTCTAGAGCAAAAAGGATTTAAGAGAAGCTGAATAATTCCGAAACGTACAAGAATATCTTTCTCCTGCGAGGAAGGACCGTCAAGTTCACCGGGCAGGACAATGTCATCAGGAGGAAGAGTCATATCGCTCTCACTTTGCCTGAATAAGTGGGATCATTATGAACTTTGTAACTGTCTAATTCAGTAACTTTAACTGTTAATTACTCGTTTCCATAACTTCAAAGGGGTTTTATTTCAATCATAAAATTGGACTATCCGCAGTAAAATGGACATCGACTGAAATAAAGTTTTGCTCAACTTTCTTATATCCCCACTTTAAATAAAAAATTAAAGATTCAATTAGGAACGTACATGAGGATGTTAATAAGCGCCTGTCGGAAGTTCTCTCTATCTTTCTTTGGTTTTTGAAAGGCGGCAGTACGTCTGGCAGATGCATCATTCTGACCTTGTTCCGACCTCTTTCTCTGATTCTCAAACTTCTTCCGTCTAAATGCATCATCTGAAAACAGTGATATTAGTTTAAGGTAAGAGATGATGAACTGGCCCATCAAGGTTTAAGGTTTACCTGTATCTACTGGTTAAACTTAAACTTAAAAAGCTCTCCTGAACGTAACCTAAACTTTTGGGAAAGAAACTTATGTAACAGAATTTTGAATTGAGGGAAGATTGAGCGCAAATGTAGGCACATTAACAAAACTATCTAGATGAACAATCTCACCAGGAGGGGAGCCCCCGGGAGGATGAGGGGTGATATCGAACAAGACTCCATCTGTTTTGAAAGGGGGTGTTGACTTAGACCATACTGGTTTAGCTCTCTTTTCAGGGAGTTGAGGCAGGAATCGTATTGGATTCTCTTTAGCAGTTGCGCTGAGACTGCCCGGTGAGGGCCGGGGTTGAAATGTTGCCATGGAAATTCACCATAGGCTTTACATTAAACTATTGTAAATAGAGACGTATGAGAGCAAATAGAAACCAACAATAGCAATATGATTATTCGATTCAATAGTCACTAACTTTAGAAGTGATTAACACAACATCGAAAATAGTGATGAAGGCTAAAGAGAAACAATGAAAAAGTCAAAAGCTGTATAATGGTATTCATAAAACTGGTAAAAACATTTTAATAAGAGACAATACAATAATCATTAATAAATTATTTCTTGATCTGACGACTGATGAAAAGAAGCCGCATTTAGCATTTGCAAATCGAATTTTGATATCAACCACTGATTTGAAGTACCCAAATTATGAGTTGGAATGTGCAATGCACGAATAACAAACAATCAAAAGACATCAAACCAAGTGTCAGTATAACATTTATGATCAGGAAAGAAAAGATTCATGATGGCCGAGTTTTTCAGTTTATCCTGCATCAGTGATAGCACTGGAATGAGGCGGGACTCCACTTGGTTCATTCTGAAGCTCCATCAGAGCCTCCACATCCTCCTCTGGTTCCATGCCCTGAGTCCATGCTAACATTTCCAACAACTCAGCATCACCCGTAACCGGCCGTAAATTACCGTCTCCAGTATTATAATTTTGCATTGATTTTAGACGCTCGAATAACGCAGACTTTGGGTCGATTTCACAATCTTTGTCAACTAAGTTAACACCGTATATTAGTTTATGGTGGTTTTCCAGCTGCTTCTTGGCATCTCTCAATACCCTGTCACTGGAATCGATGTGTATGTCCTTGAAATGAGGGTCTTTCTGAAGCATCTTCATCAGTGGGTTAGGAGCAGTTCTAGAAATTTTAGTTGTTGCAATTCCATTCCAAATCGAAAGATAGTCATCATATGAAACTTTGTGGATGAGCTTCGTTTTAGATTTGTTTCTTGGGTCAATTGATTCTTTCGCAGGTTTAGTCTCAAGAGATTCATCGTCTTCATGCGGAGGTAATCCAGCGGCGATCCGCTTACTAGCAGTCACACAATCATACACCATCTGCCTATACATAGCAGGAGTCAGTTCCAAAGCATTGCATGCCTCCGTGTTCACAGCAATTTCAGTGTTGGGTGATGCTAACATATTCTGTATTGTCAGAAGAACATAAGACATTGAGAAATCCGGGTTCCAAAGGGTTACATCGTCAAGGAAGTCAATGCATGGTCTGCCATTTAGCATATCAACATTTGGGTGAAACGGAATCGTGAAGAAGTTTACTTCTGGGGGCTTATCATTGAATTGAGGTGAAAACCTGATAAGAAGTTTAAATATGCCACCCTCCCAAGGGGTTTCTACTGGTCCTAGCATGGTCACATCCCAATCTAGCAAACTTGCTTCATCTAATGGATTTATTTCTATGCCCCAGAGAGGTTCTTGTTTCAGCTTTATCAGCTCTCTGTTTAAGAGCAAATAGGACCGAGAATGCATACCACCAACGCCAAGTAAGTTTCAAATTTATGAAAAGTTTTGGTATCGAAAGCTAGAGGAATATTAGCAAACTTCTAAAGAGGTACATGGGTTCCACAAACTGCAACTGAACTTTTCCCGAGGGACTAGAATCTAAATACGTTTATCATCAAACAGACTACCTTTCACTATATCCTGAAAAAAACAGATTACGTTAATAAGAATTTTATAACATCAATATGTCCGCTCGTGTCTCAGCCTGAGTTCGTAGATCCAGAAATGGCTTCCAAAACCATGTATTATTTTAAGTCACGACTCACGATGGTTTTAGTTAATTTCATGGTGCTAAAATACCTTAATTTTCAAGCCAAAAACAATAAAGCTCAACTTCGTGATCATAGTAATAGAAGATCGATATCAATTATTGGAAGTATTTATCAAAAAAGCAGACGAGATAATCGAAAACTAAGACAACTTGTACACGGAGCGAGCGATATGTCGTTGCTAACTGAGAAATTAACATAGCAACGAATAAACATACGCTCGATTCCAAAATGACTATTTATGTACAGAAAAACTGCGGCGTTTGCGCGGCGCGTCAAACCTTTGAACTATATTAATCAATATTAAATTACTTTAAAATACAAGTTAAATTCGTTTTCAAATATTTTGTAAATAAATAAATAAAAATTTATTAATATGAAAAAGTTAATTATATTATTAAATACATTTTTTACTTATTTTAGATTGACATTTTTAAAGTATGAGCCAATAAAATAAGCCGCGCGTAAGGACGCTTTTGCTCGAATGATTGCGCCTTAAATTCACTCCGCAAAATCACAATGTTTGTACTACTCGATGTGCACCGCACTGGCTCACGATTGCAATGGATTTGTTTTTTATAATTAAGTTCAATTGTAACATGATTGGACGTTGTCGACGAATTTTGATTTATATAGATTGCTCGTTCGGTTTGACTTATGTAAAGAATGAAGTTCTAAGATAAAGGGACTGGTAAAATGTTCATTTCAACCCCACTATGCCTTGTTGATTTTTTCACCGTATTTGCTTGTAAATCTCGAATGACTTTTTGTCGAAGTTATTTTATCTTTACCTTCTGACATACTCATAAGAATAAGTCTGCTGCCTCGTACAGTTTATTAGAAGAAGAAAGTGACTGGTAGATGGTGGAAGAAGGGGTAATATGGGGCAATACTTGTATGCTATACTCGACTTGTAAATTTCATTTTTCTTCGTAGTATGGTCACGGTACTTTTGGTCCTGATTTTATAGTATGACGTAACATGCACATGCACTCGATTTAGTTATAGTAAAAACGGTGAAATTAAGGGCGTCTGGATCTTCATATAATACCGTCATTTGTATTAGAGGTTTAGGTTCTATAATTCTGTTGTTTCTGGCTGTTTTCTGTTCGAGCTTTGAAAAAGCTATATAGTCGATCGTTCGGATGGCATATGCTTTTATCTATCGGTATACAAATTTGTCAGATAATTTACAAATTATTTGTACGTTATTAACGGTAATGTCAGAGAATTTACAAATTATCAGTACGTTATTTAGGGTAATTAAGGGTAATTTCCCACCTGCCGTGTTTCTGTCCTTCAAATTCCGGAAATATTTTCTAATTGTGTTTTTTTGTAAAACATAATCATTTGGACACTGCCAATAACTTTTATTCTAAACAACATCTAAATCATTATTAAAGTTTTTATTAAGGTATATCACATTTTCAGTTATGGCAGCTAAAAAGAAGAAAGGAAAGAAAGAAAAAGGTAAGAAAAAGAGTAAAGGGAAGTCACAGAAAGGAAGTAAGTCGCCCAACAAATCACGTGATCTTGAGTTGGAAAATGTCACCAGACATCAGATATTGGAGTGTAAATTGGATGCTACCGAGAAGTCTCGCTCAGACTATAGAGACAAAGCTCGAAAATTGTTAGCAGAGAATGATCTCCTTCAAAACCAAATGTCTGCAACCGAGAGAGATACAATCGAAGTGATATCTTACCTAAAAAAGGAAGACCTTACGAAGGATCAAATGATTGAGCAGCTGCAGAATCAATTAAAGAACCTAAAACAGGAATCTAGAAAAGATCGCGAAGCTTTAATTGAAGATTTCACTTACCAGATAAATACACTCGAAAAACAACTGAGCGATAAGAAACGTGAGGCACAGCTCATGCAAGATGAACTCATGCAAATCAAGGAATTCCGTCGGAAGAAGAATGAAATGCAGCACGAACTGGACGAAATGCGAGACCTACTTTTCCAAGAACGGAAACAGGCACGTGAGGGTATCAACGGCATCGAGCACAAATATTTTGAGGAAAAACTCAGACTCCAGTCAGAGGCATCAAGACAGATAGCTGAACTAGCAGAACGAGCTCACAACGAGGCAGTTCAGAACTTGGACGAAACTACTAGAAACATCTACAGAGAGAATGTGAGACTGACTGAGTCTCTTTCTCTTCACATGAAAGAATCAGAAGAACTGAAGAAGACTCTTGCTGATCTGGAAAACAAAGTAGAAACATTGAGCGCTTCTCAGGAGATGAACGAGAGTATAACCAGAGAGAAAGTGCAGCAAGTTAAAAACCAGAGAAAGAGTTTGAAAGAGAAACAGGAACGGATTGAAGGGCTGGAGCGAAAACTTGCAGATATCGTTGAAGATTCAATTCAAGAACAGGAGAAGGTCATTCGGCAGTGTGATGCTCAGCTTTTTAACAGTAATGAGGACATTGATACACTTCAAAAAGCACTCCAACTGAAGGAACAAGAACTGAAGCACATCAAACGTCTTGGAAAACGAATTCTAGATCAGAGAACTGATACTGAATCGTTCTTCTTGACGGCTCTTGGTCAAGTAAAAGAGGAGATTGTGGCTAACAGAACACAGTATCGTAAAGATGCCGAAGTTGCATACCACAGCAGAATGTTGGAAGCTCAAAAAGGAAAAGCGCCCTTCCCAAGAACACGAACGTTCAGGAAGCTGCCACACAGCACAAACAGTGTGTATTCAGATTTGGAGGAGGCAGAGAGATTTGATACTATCGAGGAGTATCAAGATATTGGCGATCTCACTTGGGAACAAAAAGAGAAGGTACTTCGAGCATTGTTCGCTGAGATGAATGGACATGTTAAGCGCGGTAAAGACAAAACTCCATCTGCTTCAGAAGAGAACTCCGATTCTCTACCTCCGATACCGCAGGACCAACCTCTAGCGGGTTTTATTCCCAGATTAGAGGAAGTATCACAGACAAGACTTTCAGAAGAGAAACTTCTCGCTATTGACACTTGAAAACAGAATAAGGTTGATCAGCAGGGTCTTCAAAATGTGTGTATCGCCTTATCTTGTTAACTTAATTCAGAAATCAGTGCAGTGAGCTTATTTTATACGATCAAATGACTGGCATGAGGCCCAGAAGATGGATTCTGTGATTTATTTAAGTAAAATTGCTCAAATCGTTTAATTTGTGAGACGAAAAATTATTTTTTTGCCAAGCGTATTTTATTTGATTGCCTAAATCTTCAATATCATAAATATTCTATGAATGTTTTATGGTGAAGTGAGAATTTTGTTTGTGTGAAATACAAAATTTTACGTAGATTTTATCTATAGTTTCATTTAGTTAATTACATGTTCTTTTTATCAAATTTGCTTGTTTCATTGGTTCAAATGTTCAATCAATATAGAGAATGGGTACAGTCTCTATCAGATTTTTCTCGTTCATTTTAAGTTTTTGGATAACTAATGTTTTACATGATTTTTATCAAATAATATTATTAATAGATGGGTGAGGAGAGCATTTACAACCTGCTGCCTACAGTCAGGCAGCCAGAGGCTAAAAATCCTAGGTTTGTAGATTTGTTCAATAACATTATCGTATTATCTAATAAATGAAAATAACGATTTTGGTTTTACAATATTTGTTGAATTATTATCATAATTTTCTCCAGGTACAAATCAGTTTTCAATGAAACAGCAAAAGCAGAACTCAAAACAAACAAACAAGCTTCAAAAACAATGGTACGTTTCATAACATTACTTGAACAAGTTATAACCTTAAATACATATAATATAGAATGTATAACGTATATTGTATAACATAGTATGTATATTTCTTTAACGGGGTAATAGCAACGTTGCTATATTACACCATAACATAGTTCAACAATCAACATTTCAGGGTCCAGCTAAAGTTGCCACCAATGAACCTACTAGTTTCATGACTAAACACGCCAAGGAGCCGGTCCTGCCAGAAAGTAAGTTTATCGCTGATAACTAATGATTTATAATTGTTTAACTAGTAGAAGGTTATCACAGTTTTTGAGCTCACTTCAATTGTTACTGTACCATTTGGCCCATTAGTCTTCCTCCACATCCTCCCCCACTCTGTCCTCAGCGCCACCCTCTCTACTCCTGACTGCCTCCACCAGCTTTCGTTTAACAACACACATTGTAATAATAATGGTGGTTACTCCGAGGACAACACCGGATATTATCCCAATGACTGCATTTCTGTTTAAATCGCTCATCCATTCGATGACTTCTTGAAGGAGTGCTCTCGTGGATGTTCCGTTCACGATCTTCTCACGTAAAGTTTCAGTGATGAAAATCACTGTATCAGTAATTTCTGTTTTAATACCAGAAATCTCCGGTTCTGTTTTCGCTGGCAATATACTCTTTTTATTGGCATCCTTGTAATTTTCTGTTGTAGGAGCTTCTGTTTTAGTGATCTCTGTTCCACTAACTTCTGTTGAAGTAAGCTCTGTTATGGTTTCTTCAGTTGAAGTACGTTCCGTTTCTAGCCATGTTCCAGTTGTTCCTGTACTCTCTTCTGAGATTGTGCCGGTTATTTCTGTAGCAGGACCGTACACATTGCTTCGTGTAGGCACTTCTGTAAAACCTCCTGTAGACTTGCCTTTTCGAGCAGAGGATGTTGTAATTTTATTGCTTGTATCAGAAAGAGGCCAGGTATCTGTTATGTAAGTTTTTGGCGTTTCTGTCGAGGGGTTTGTGTGACGACGCCACACACAATCTGAAACAGTGGATATACTTTTGATTGTTAGTTTGAAAGCGTTCAGATCATTACATCGGACGAAATTATTGATTGAAATGGATTTGGGAATTTACGTTAAAAATATGTAAGAATCTATCAAACGATCTCTGCAACGTACCTCTGCATCCGAAGACGAAGAAAAACAGGCAAATAGAAAGCAACATTATTGAACAACTGGCCAGCAAAATAGTCTACATGTACCTGACTGCTGTATTTGAGGCAGGGATAGATCGAAAGTCGTGCACATTGCTTCGTAATTTACTTAGAACCCTCACATGGACAGTTGTGCTTTGATGGAGAAACATATTACGAAATGTCAACTCATGTGCTTTGAAAAAATTGTTGTTCTTAAAAATCGCAAATACGATGTCGAATCTTTACAATGGAACAGTTTCATTTATCTAGAGACCTTCCGTCACGTCTCCGGAAAACCTTAGTAGGAGTTTAATTCAATCTACAACCAACAATGATAAGCTCATAACAGTCTGCCTAATAGAGTTTCACCTGAGCTTGAGTAACAATAATCATAAATTGAAGTTTAATAACACCACTATTATTAGATAAAACTTATACTCAGCAGTGTTTAATCTGAACATCCCAGAAAATTACTTGATTAATATTTAATAGTTAAGGACTGGAAACGTATGCTTGAAAATATATCGTTAATACTAATTGTTAATATTAACAAGTAAAGTGGATTTTAGGTTTTAATTTGTGAATCGACCTTTGAAAAAGTTGCATCAGAACACATTTAAAACACAATACGTATTGATTTTGTTACAACTGCAGAGTAAAATTTGTCTTGTGACGTAAAGTGACATTGTTGCTGCAAAGGAGAAACTGTTCTTTTCAGGCCAATATTTTAATACAACTAACTACATAATCATGATAATAAATAAAACGGGTCGTTTGCCCGCCAATTTGAGTGTTTCTCTTTGTTTGAAATAATCATGATGATATTCATAAAAGAAACACCCTGCACCATTCACAACATATTTGTGTATGTCTGTCAAAACTTATCCCTTGAGTGTGTCCAGGATTCTGATCCGTACTGCAAAACCGATTCCCGTACCGCAATGACTAATCCAATCTTTAAGCTCCTAAATATGTAGTTTTGGTATCCAAATATTATTTTGCTTGTGTAAGGCTCTCCGTGCTTCTTCCTTTCTGTTCCTAATCTCCCTCTTTTTGCTCTCGATCAGAAACCTATGTACACAAAATCTTCCACCTTTCTATGGGTTTCCTGTTCAAAAGACAAAACCGGTGGTCGCTAAATAGATCCTCCATATTCAGTGTCATTACCTTGTTATTGTACACCTAATCCTATGTTGGATTGCTGGCTGCTGATTCTAATCTAATTCCTTAAAAACGTCCTTAAAAACATTCTTGGATCTGAAATGCATGTCATCTCTATTGATTACCTTACTTATATCATGGATGTATCATAAATTTAGACATTCATGCTATTAATCCTGTATCTGGTCAAAACCTGGCACAACTTAGCGAGTTTAGAAGGTTTGAGATGTTATTTGTGCTCCCTAGGGTCTCTACTTCAAAAAAATTTGGGTGGATAATTTTTTTATGTTTGTTTAAACCGTGACCACGCCCTTTTTTAAAGCGTGGGAAATTTTCCCAAAATTATTGAAATTTGCCTATAATATTTGATGGGGGTCTCTAAATGGCTTGATATGATGCCATCAGTATTACTAGAACAATATAAAATAAAATTTGGGTAAATAAAAGTGTAGTGGCACCCTTGACCACGCCCATTTACACAATTTTTGGCGGAAAATTCGGAAAATTCGAAGTTGTTTACTCTAGCAGCAGGGAGGTGTTTAGTTTGTATTTAAACTGCTGAATCGAGTTAAATATGTTATATAAGTAACCTTAATTCAATTAATTGGGCATGTTGAGCCATTAGTTCAGCCTTGGGAACCACGCCCATATTTCATATTAGGCGCGTATGTGAGGAAACTTTATCTCAGCTTCTGAAGACCGTAGAAACTTAAACTTTGGGCTTAAAATTACCGCAATATGTAGTTTATATTGACACCATTAAGGTGCTGAAGCTCTCCAGGACTTACTTTTGGATAAAAATGAGAAAAACTGATATAATTTACTGAAGCGCATTAACAAAAAAAACTTCCCTAGCAGCTAGGTTAAGTCAAGTAGGCACATCAATGTATAATGTTTTACTCGACACAGTGTCCTTCGTAAGGTCTAAAGGTCATTCTGGGCTAGAATAATTCGATTTTGGGTGCCCCACTTTTATTAGTAGTCCAACCCTGTCCTAGCTGTGGTAAAATTTCTAAACTGCCTCAGGCGTAAATATATGATTTTTCTATCCATCTCAGCTCTGAATATTGTATGACATTCAAGATAACCACAACAGCAGAATAGCCCTTATTTATATACATTATGCAAGCTATGAAGCAGTATGGGGTGCATGAAGCAGTATGGGGTGCATAGTTTTTGAGATATTTATTTTTAAAACATGATTTTTAAATGTATCTTGGGCTACCCGCATTTATCTTGGGCTACCGAATTTATGTACCAGCACCATCAGCTCATCTTAGAAATCACAAACAACCCGCCGGGCAGCTATCTCTAGTTAAGCTCATTTCAGTACCCGTTGACTATAATATACCCGTTGACTATAATATACATAAAACATAATCGATTTTTACAATCTACACACCTATTTTCAACCTACCCTGTATGCCCGCTTTTATGTCAGTACAACCTCATCTAGCAAAGTCCAGCTGAAGCTACTAACAGTTACCTCCAGCCCTATCCTATTATTACTTTTCCCTCCAATCCTAGCTCTTTCCACCGACCTCAATCTCATTTAGGAAACTCCAGCACTAGCTAACTGCAGCTCTAGCTATCTTCTGCTATTATCCTTTCCCTCCAATATTAGCTCTTTCCACTGACCTCAATCTCATCAAGTAAATTCCGGTTTTAGCAACTAACCTTCAGTTATCTCTAGGCTCCAACTCTACCCTGTTGCTGCCCTCTTCAACTAATTGTAGCTTCTAGCCTGCTAGCTATCACCAGTATCCTACAAATCTAAATTTTATAGCAACCTTTTGGAGGTCTTTCACATTATATTAAGTAATCATTTTTGGAACATTTTAAAAGAGCTTTAATTGTAGGATGTTGATGCTATTACATGGATAGAGTAAATTGCAACAGTCGTTGCTGGAAAATGATAAAGTTACTTGAAGAACACAAATGGATGGAGCAGGAAGTTATTGGCAGAAGAACTGGAATAGTAGGCTTCCAGTGGCAGCTGGATAGAGCAGAGGGTAAGAAACTGACCGGTCAAAGGTTTTGGCCACCGGACCGGAAAAGACAGGATATTTCGGTTTGCCGCATTTTGCCGGACCGGAACCGGGTAATGTCGGCCAATCACTAAGATTCACACTCCCTGGCTCGTAGGACTAACCCCCTACAACTAGTATACGAGTATAGTGCCTTGGCACAGAGTGCAAGTGGGTTAGGGTTACTGAAAAGGATATAAGCATCTCAGGCCATCCCAATACCGGAAGAGAACTGGGGGTCACAATGGTGAACAATTGTGAAAATGGTGAAATTTTACAATGGAAACAAAATCATTCACTTGAAAAAATTAGAATGGAGTTGAAGTCACTGGAAAGAGCTAGAATTGGAGGGAAAAGTAATATTAGGATAGGGCTGGAGGTAACTGTTAGTAGCTTCAGCGGCTGCACGACTTCCAGGCCCCCACCAGCTATGATTTACAGAACATGTGATTTGAGTCATTACAACAAGTCAGTAATGACTTGCTGCTCTTTAATAATTCCTAAGGGATATGCAGGGAGCAGCCTCACCTCACTGTCCACAATGACTGACCCAAGGTAAGTCTTCTCGAAATAATCAACTATAGATTAGACATTAGCTTAGGCAAGTTTGTCTGTATATAGTACGTTATTTCAGAGAATACTTGCTCGACATCAGATCGGCTCACTCCTGTTGCATGCCTTTGGCACGTACGTCTGACATCCCTAGATACGAGACCCCCCCCCCCCCCCCCCCCCCCCCCCCCCCCCTTAGCTTTAGCAAGAGCTCCCGTCCCTTATGTGATATACGAGTCGAGCGGTCAAATCTTAAAGATCATCAGATCATGTTTACTTCTTAATGCACAGCTATGATACATACAGAGTTAACATGTGAACTCTACCCTGTATCTCGCCCATTTCTAGGTCAATTAAATTCTACCGATGGATCACATCACTAATTATACGTCACTGATTAGTGACATGATCTGATCTCCATGGGACCCCTAATAATGGGGGGACCTGGAAGTCGGCCTCCTGCTTCAGCTGGACTTTGCTAGATGAGGTTGTACTGACATAAAAGTGGGCATATATTATAGTCAACGGGTACTGAAATGAGCTTAACTAGAGATAGCTGCCCGGCGGGTTGTTTGTGATTTCTAAGATGAGCTGATGGTGCTGGTACATAAATGCGGTAGTGTTGAACCTTTGTTGTATTTTTAAGCGCAAGATATATTTAAAAATCATGTTTTAAAAATAAATATCTCAAAAACTATGCACTATAGACCCCATACTGCTTCATAGCTTGTATATAAATATCAATATGGCCATTCTGCTGTTGTGGTTATCTTGAAAGTCCTACAATATTCAGGAGCTGAGATGGATAGAAAAATCTTATATTTGCGCCTGAGGGCAATGTAGAAATTTTACTACCTAGGCCAGGGTTGGACTACTGATAAACGTGGGCACCCAAAATCAAATTATTCTAGCCCAGAATGACCTTAAGACCTTACGAATTTTACTCGACCGTGTCGAGTAAAACTTTATACATTGATTTGCCTACTTGACTTAACCTAGCTGCTAGGGAAGTTTTTTTTTGTTAATGCGCTTCAGTAAATTATATCAGTTTTTCTCATTTTTATCCAAAAGTAAGTCCTGGAGAGCTTCAGCACCTTAATAGTGTCAATATAAACTTACATATTGCGGTAATTTTAAGCCCAAAGTTAAGTTTCTACGGTCTTCAGAAGCTGAGATAAAAATTTCTCACATACGCGCCTAATATGAAATATGGGCGTGGTTCCCCAAGGCTAAACTAATGGCTCAACATGCCCAATTAATTGAATTAAGTTACTTATATAACCTATTTAACTCGATTCAGCAGTTTAAATACAAACTAAACACCTCCCTGCTGCTAGAGTAAACAACTTCGAATTTTCCGAATTTTGGGCGTGGTCAGGGTGCCACTACACTTTTATTTACCCAAATTTTATTTTATTATGTTCTAGTAATACTGATGGCATCATATCAAGCCATTTAGAGACCCCCATCAAATATTATAGGCAAATTTCAATAATTTTGGGAAAGTTTTCCCACGCTTTAAAAAGGGCGTGGTCACGGGTTTAAACAAACATAAAAAATTATCCACCCAAATTTTTTTTGAAGTAGAGACCCTAGGGAGCACAAATAACATCTCAAACCTTCTAAACTCGCTAAGTTGTGCCAGGTTTTGACCAGATACTTTATTATATGTCCTACTGTGACATTGACATCTCTAACTAAAATGAAAGGTCTACAGAATAGTAAAAGCGGAACGCGCGAAAACGTTCGCGCAATATCAAAGACGCAATTTATTCGCTTTAAATGCGCGTCTCCATGGTAACCTTAGTATTGTTTTGATGTTCAAACTGCATGGCCGGCCGAAGCAGGATTATTCGATACAATTCAAAGAAAACTGTAAATTTATTCTGATTCCTATCATTAATTCGCCTATAACTTCAGAAGCCGCCTTCGCAAGACCAAATGCTGACGGTAAGCGACCAGCCGTGCCCAAGAGAGACGAAAAGCCGGTCATGGGGCTAAAGTCGAACAAGAACTTCCTTCATACTAATGCCGTAGAGAACATCATGTCAGTTGCCAAGAAACCCCAGCCTAAATATGTGGATACACCCGGTGGAACCACAAACGCCTTGGAGGTTTGACATCTATATTACCGCAGAAATCTGTGTATGTTAGATGTCAAAAGTAATTACCTATTGAAACTTTTGCGAGTTCAATAAATAAGTAAATTGTAAATATGTTGATTGTTGCGTGTATATTTTGCGTCTGATCGGGGTTTTTTTCTCGACTGACAATTATACCCATTATCTGTAACAAAAAAATGTATTAATTTCTGTATTTCCAGTGATTATCATGATATTTTTAGGACTCCGGTTTGGTACCCAAATTCGTAAAGAAGGACAATTACGGTACAGTACCTAAATATTTGGAAGCAAGGAAGAAGCAGATGGCCGAACATCAGGCAAACTATGAACAGTACATTCAACAGAGATTACAGAAAGGCGCCCTGAACCAAGTTACCGCTCCTGAAAGGTACAGAAAGTTAACTTTTGATCATATTTATTTCAATATCAATCATGATCGACATTCGACAAATATGCATCAGTATAATTCTGATGCAGCAATATTTTATACTCTGTTTTTGATTGATTGTTAATGGAATGCTCTTTTAAAGAATTCAGTTTAACGACAGTAACAATTCAGGCAAAAGACACTGGATGGTCTAAAGAAGAACTGGGAGGAGTTACATTTACAATATCAGGGTCTGTCTGTTGTCACGGACACTGCTCCAAAGAAAGCCAGGTAATCTTATTCCTCCCCTGACGAGAATATTTGTCTGCCGTTTTTGATCATTAATGGGAGAATAATCATAACGAGTTCCAATGGCGAATCTTAATTATAACCGCATTATCTTCTCAGGAAAGAAAGAATGGAAGCTGAGATGAAACAACTGGAGAAAGATATTGATACGATCGAAAAGCACAAAATCATCTACGTTACCGACAACTTTTAATCATATATTGCACGTGGTTCTCTTGGTCACTTTCTTTTATTCTTGAGAATAAAGTGGAAAACATCTAATTTCGGGATTTAATTCAGTGATATTTTTGCAAAGACCAAAATTTGAATGTTGAGGGTTAAATCGAACAAATTTCCCAGATTACCAGAGTATTTGAAAATAGGTAAAATATTCGGGTTGCCTAATCTGCACATTATAACATTTTCATATGTAAATATAGCTGGATTACTATTCATGTCAGGTGTCAGATGTCGCTGATTTTATCACTAAAGTTATGAGCTACGGATTTGAGATGCTATGTATTTTGCAGATGTATTCTTTTTCATGTGTACAATTTTGATGTCCTGTTTTTCATGTATAGTATGAAGCTAGCTGAACTCAGAATTTTGCCTATATTTTCGTATCCATGATGTTACCCCATGATATCATGTGCGTGTAAATTGAAAATCACACATAATGTGGTAATTATCTAATCAATCAGCTCACGTGTCCTAATTAGACTAGTAGTCAGTGTCTAATGCTATTAATAGGTCACATTTAATAAGGATCTATATGTATAACCGCATTAAGGGGAGATACACCAAAAACGTTTTTGCTCCGAACATCGATTTTATTTTATATTATGGTTAAATAGACAAAAAGAATAAGATTGCACACCTTCAAAATTTTCTAAAAATATTCCCTCATCGAGAAAAAAAATATTTTTCTTTTTCGAAAATTTTTAAAATTTGGAGAAGTCTGTCACTGTAATATCGATAGTTCGGCCATTTTAAAAGTTTTTTGGCTGATTTTTTTACTGAAGATTACTTACACTCCGTACAAGACAACCCTTTAAAGGATTATTTAATTAAACAATAAATGACCAAGTTACAGACCGAACAAGGTGAAAAAAGAAAAGTTGGGATTTTTGCCTACCAACAAAGTTGTACATTTTACCACTCGCCCAGGTCATCAGATATCGCTTCAAAAATTCTTGTGAGTGTAGCTGATGATAATATGAAACTTTTTGGAACAGGATTTCTTTCAGTTGTGAGTTTTAAGGTATGAAATGTGGCCTAAACGACTTAGTAAAATTCATCGTAAAAAAGGGCCAAACATGGCAGATTTAAGGCTTAAAATGCCTATAACTCAAAAAGTATCAGTTTTTTAGAAATAATTTTTACAGGATCGTAATCAGCTTGGTAAGACGAATCTTTTAGTACCAAATTTATAATAGTTAAAGACACAAAATTTGTAAAAAAATGTGTACAATTTGTACAAAATTTATACAAGGGGGGACCCTTGTGTTCGAGCTAGAAAATTATTTAAGACAATTTGTCTTCTAAAATCACCTATTTGGTACTAAAAGATTCGTCTTTTCAAGCTGATTACGATTCTGTAAAAATTATTTCAAAAAAATTGATACTTTTTGAGTTATAGGCATTTTAAGCCTTAAATCTGCCATGTTTGGCCCTTTTTTACGATGAATTTTACTAAGTCGTTTGAGGCCACATTTCATACCTTAAAACTCAAAACTGAGAGAAATCCTGTTCCAAAAAGTTTGATATTTTCATCAGCTACACTCACAAGAATTTTTGAAGCGATATCTGATGACCTGGGCGAGTGGTAAAATGTACAACTTTGGTGGTAGGCAAAAATCCCAACTTTTCTTTTTTCACCTTGTTCGGTCTGTAACTTGGTCATTTATTGTTTAATTAAATAATCCTTTAAAGGGTTGTCTTGTACAGAGTGTAAGTAATCTTCAGTAAAAAAATCAGCCAAAAAACTTTTAGAATGGCCGAACTATCGATATTACAGTGACAGACTTCTCCAAATTTTAAAAATTTTCGAAAAAGAAAAATATTTTTTTTCTCGATGAGGGAATATTTTTAGAAAATTTTGAAGGTGTGCAATCTTATTCTTTTTGTCTATTTAACCATAATATAAAATAAAATCGATGTTCGGAGCAAAAACGTTTTTGGTGTATCTCCCCTTAAGAAAAGCTGGAATATCACAATTCTTAACCACAAAATTTTAAAACAATAATCAAGGTATGATAGCTGCTTCCACACCACTTTTTGCCTGTAGCTAGGTGAAGTTTAACCATTAGCATTGTAGACAGATTACACCACGAAATGTGTTTGATACTTCCAGTAATACCCCAAACCCTCCCTATAAACTCATAAGAACTAGTGATATAAGCAAAATAGCAAATTAATTTGTAATTATCAAATGCCGAAACGAATTGACAGTCAATGAGTCAATTGTTCTGGACATATTTTGAACTAATTGCTACTATAATGGCGCAGGAGGGTCAACCTGAAAAGAACATTGCTTGACCCTCCTGCCCCACCGCATGGATCAGGAGGTTCATTTCAGAAAAAACAGTGCTTGACCCTCCTGCCCCACCACATGGATCAGGAGGTTCATTTCAGAAAAAACAGTGCTTGACCCTCCTGCCCCACCACATGGATCAGGAGGTTCATTTCAGAAAAAACAGTGCTTGACCCTCCTGCCCCACCACATGGATTACGGGGGTCATTTGAACCCACGTGGGTTCAAGACCATGTGCACTTATTTCTACATCGCGCGCGATACGTGTGTGCGTGATTACATGAAATCTTACCGCGCCCTACGCCAAGTAGACGAAAAGCGTGGTCGAAGAGCGAGAGTCGGTACAATAAATAAAACGAGAGTTGGTACATTTAACTGGCATTTTTTAACCGTGGTACAATCAGAATTGCATACAGCCGACACAGGATGAGGGGGGGGGGGCAATGACTACTGATGGAGACTTTGAGCACCAATGGGGACGAAAATCATAGGGACTGAAGGTCAAATCGCTGGTGAAATTTTCCATTTGTCCCCATAAGTACCCAAAGTTTTGGCGAGTTTTATGTAGTTTTGATATTATCTTTTATTAAATGACTTCTAAAGGAGACTTTTGGGTACCAATGGGGGCTAAAAATCTTGGAGACTTGAGGTTAAATTGCTGGCGAAATTCTGCACTTGTCCCCAAAGTACCCAAAGTCATTGGCTCCCCCCCCCCTCCCCCGGGTGAGGTGACGGAGAAAAATAAACTGAGCTCAAGGCTACATTTCCAGATATCCCGCCAGGGCACCGTCGCTCATGCTGCAAAGTGTGTTGAGAGATGCCCACGTCATCACACGTAAACTGTGTCACGAATACCTGAAATGCAGACGTGCATCAAGAACAAACATAACTCTGATCTATATTTTTCATAAAACTTTCAGGATTTGCCAATGAGGGAAAAGACAGCACTGTCCGAGAAGCTAGAAATGCATGAATCATAGGTGACATGGATAGGGGTAAGAAGTTTTTAAAAAACATGAAAATTGTGAAAGGAAAAGAAGTAGAAATGAGAAAGGGTAGATTTAAAATGTTTGAGAATCGATTTTGTGCTGAAGAACTCCGTCCGCAGGACGGGCTTCCGGCTACTTATGATAATTCGAATAAATTTGAGATTCAAACAAGCTACGAATACGAATGCTTATAGCAGTGGCAAGCTCGTGGCAAGCTCTTGTTTGCTGCGCATTGGCTGCAATGTATAACCGCAGTATGAACTGTCAAAATATTTGAATTTGCTTACCTAGTGGCTTTGTTTGATAAAGCATACATACTTTATATACCGATAAATCAATAACTCCTTTTGATTCTTCGGTTTGAGAATTGTGCGGTCACACATCTCTGCAATGTCTGAAAAGGTGGCAGGGAAGTATTGAAACTTACTTAACACTATATTTACAGTTAAATCTTGAACTACTATAACTAGGGCAGTAGGAAACGCCAAAAAGTAGATCATCTGACTAAAACAACTTAACTTCATTCAAGAGTCTAGTTAGCAGCATTGTAGCGATAAGATACCACCATAGTTTGAGCTGTCGACACTGAAATAAAACAAACAATTTACTTTTCACTACTGCAGGGGAATGCATGTAACATATAAAGAATAAAGATATAATATATTGTATGTTTTTCATCGTGGCCTCAGGGGAGAAGGGCAGCTCGAAAAACCGAAAAAAGTCTAAAAAACCGTGTTGGAGCTGGTGAGTTAAAGCTACCGATCTCGATCGTGAGAGTCAGATGATCAGATCGCATGTAACGTGAGTTTCGCCCGCCTGAATAAGGCAACATGAAATCATATTGCTGGTGACAGGTCTCGACCAAGATGTAAAATAAAGATACCCCAAATTTGTTATTTTTAAGCCGATTCACATCGACCCAAGTCTCTGCTTTGACCCTAAATGCTCAAACTTCGTTAATAGATTGGAAAATCGTGTTATGCTTGTTACTAATAACTGTTGTTTGTGAGTTGTCCAAAGGAAGAAATGGGAGTATCATCGCATGGGCATTGATATGTCCAGTGCGTTTGACACGATCAAACGCACTACGATTCTTGAACTCCTGAAACTGTGTGGCTGTACTGAGGATGAGCTGAGGATTGTCCGGTTGTTGTTGTCCAACACAAAGCTACGGGTGAAGGTAAATGGAGTTCTTTCAGCTGAGTTTTTAAGTCTCCTTGGAGCTTTCCAAGGTGACTGTCTATCCGGCTGTCTGTTCACCCTTGTCTTGGCTGGTGCTTTGAATGAACTTAGATGGACTATAACAATCAGTTTAGATAGGCCGATCCCCCCGATTACTATTGCTGGCCTTCCACTTGACACTGAATATGCTGATGATGTTGACTTCAATGATGAAGAGGAAGACAACTTGAGAGCTATTTTGCCCCAGGCAACAGCTATACTCGAGAAATGGAACCTCTTTGTCAATGAAGACAAAACGGACTTCACTCATGTTTATTTAGCTAGTACGGGTGAAGTCGACAGTGATGGAAAATTAGTGTCGGGGAATGAAGCATGGAGGAAAAGTATCACTCTAGGGTCCGTCTTGTGTAGCAAAGCTGATATTCAGCGTCGCATAAACCTGGGATATGCTGCCTTTAACAATTACAAGAAGGCCTGGAGTGATAAACTGCCCCTAAACAAACGTCTAATACTGTATAATGCTTTAGTCGTATCGGTTCTTATGTACAACTCATCCTGTTGGGCCGTCCCCAAAATATTCCTTGAAAAACTAGATGTTGTTCACCGCAGACATCTTCGCACTATTTTGAATATAAGGTATCCAGGAGTCATCTCCAACAAAAACTTGTATAAACGCTGCAATGCTGAACCATTGTCAGAAAGAGTGGCCCGTAGTCGGTGGAGAATGTTAGGACATGTTTTGCGGGGTCCTATTGACGGACCAGCGTTTTCTTCCCTCATTTTTGCCATCAATACACTGGACTTACCAGGGAGAAGAGGAAGACCCCAAAGCAATCTATTCTCACTGATTGTGCATGATTTATGTAAAAGAAATCTTTATTTGAATAATATCTTTGACCTGCATTATCTCCGTAATTTGAGTTATGACAAGAGATATTGGCGGAATTTGCAATGAAGTTTTTAATTTTTAGTTTTTGTTTTAGGGAAAGATTAGACTTGGGCGTTGTTTTTTTAACTATCCCTTGTTTAGAACTTTGATTTAATAATTAATAATGTGAGAGGACATCTCGATTTCCCGGATCAGAGGATCACACCAATGAGGGGTTGATTGTGCATGTGTGAACTTGACTAAATTTTCAAATTGCCCGATTTTTTTTCAGTAGGTCACATTACTCGTGACGTGCAAATGTATCTTTTGTCTTTTAATAGGTCAAGCTTAGAGCTTTAAAGCTTTAAAGACTTCTCCGTGACAAAGACGGCCGACATATATCTTTACTCCAGGAAAAGTCAGAACTCTTTCCACACCACATTCTTAAATGTACACGACAGCAGAACGACGATGTAGCCCCACGCCGCAGTAAACTTTAAATTTCTGACCCGGAACGAGCCCAGCAACTGTAGACAGCTGCGTGAGCTATGTACGGTTAGCAGATTTAAGAGCTTATGCAATAAGCAGTCACCGTTCACTCTCATTTTTGACTTTTCTTCTTTTGAACAACAAATGTCCATTGAATGATGCCAAGCTAAGCGATTATGATTAGAAAAGTACCGTGATTTACACTGATGGCTCATACAAGGACTTGTTGGACTTCGTGAATTTGGAGGACCTGCAGCTGTAATCAGTACTTCACTACCAGATGTGCGAGGCCGAGGTTCCCGTTTGACAACATTACAAGTGGACCACCCAGGCCGGGATGATCACGCGCTAGTTGACATGAGATCTGATTCTCCCGGGAAAATTGGGCGAGATGACCGGTGTCCTGTCAGAGGTCACAGATACAAGGATACAAAAATATAAATATTTTATTGTACAATTACAATAGTCGTATAAACTTGACAAATTCGCCTACCATCACGTGACCCTCGTCAACGAGCAAGTGAAAAATGTGTTCACAGCATTTATATTATACGGTAACTACACCATAGATTGACAAGCTAAGCGTACAGAAAAACGTCCAACTCCGGACTATAATAAAACTCCGGTATAATAGCGTTTTTGACGGAGCAATTTAATGGCCTGGAGTAGGAAACTTTGTTGACCGGAATAAATTGATCCGAAAGGCGAAAGATACATATGAGAGGCCATCATAAGATGGTACCAAAATATCTCTGTGAAAAGTCCTTTTTACTTTTTTAAGCGTCAAAAGTCGGTGCACTTACTTTATCCATCGAAAAAAGGCATCCCCTGGTGGCTCGTAAAGTATCGATTTTAGCTGTCTAGTAGCCATCTTCTGTGCTCTCTGGCAGTCTAAGAAGAAACATTATATACGACTCTATACAAATAATCTTATTATAAAACAGGATCATACATAGTTAATAGAACTCCATTAAGAAAACATCTTAACTACGTAATCTGTGCCTAGTACAACAGTTTCCAACACTTCCTACAGCTAGCAATATCCCTTATTTCATTTAAATCACTCAAATTTCTAAGTTCTAAGTTTCTATATTTAAGGTCATCAACAAGCATATTTGATATAAGTTTGTATTAGGTCTACCAACACGCCCTTTAAATTTACCACTACTATTTAACACAAATTTCTCTTTGTGATGAAAAAGTTTAAAGAAGCTTTACAACTTAACTCAAACTAATGCTTCTGTCTGTCTGCTGCATTTGAGTTTATTTCTAAATGATTCGCAGCTTTCGGTAGCTCCATGTTCAGCCCACCATGCCTGAAAAAATTTGGTTCACAATAACTTTGGTTCCCATAAATATTATGGTTACCATAATATAAGTCACAAATTTTGTTAATTTCAAGTCAACAACAATATTAGTCGTATTTTTAAGACCATTTTTCCATATCATTTAATTTTTTTAAATTTATTCAGCTAGCTTTTTTGACTAAAATATTTTCGATCTGGGAAATTATTTAAAGACGAGTCAACATTACATACATCAATTACATAGCATCACATACATTTACCTATAACACGCAGTAGCGACTTGTATAAATTTAACGATACTTAAATTCGTTAAATCATATATCATGTATATGCTCTGCTGAAATTTTAGTCTCCTTTAAAATAAGTCCTCCCATGAAATTTAGTTTACAACAATTTTAGGCAATTGTTTGACTTAATTTATGGTATAATAGATTTTTCGTTCCTGAGGAAAGGGAATTTCGGCGGATATAGTAACACCAGAAAATATTGGTTTATGTAAATTGAGTTTACGTTGTTTATCAATGATTCGAGGGCACTGCAACGAGAATTAGAACAATTAATCAAAAATTACTGCCTAAACATTTAATGAGCAAAACCTAACGAGCTTAACCTCTGTCACTCTTTTTCGGAGATTCAATATCATTTGACACAACTCTATGGATTAACTATATGATTTTTTAAAATAGGAAAACTAATCTGGTTGTATCCTAGCAGAACTGATTATTATATACGTTAAGAACAGTGTCAGCTGGAATATTCAAGTAAGGTCATTTGTGTGCTTTCTTTTACAACAGAAACAAGGAATTGAAATATCATTGTAAACTAAAACTGACAAGGGTAATCATAACATAACATTGTGCTCACAGTGTCACTCCATTCCTGAAAAAAGCCCATTTTCTTCCAATAAGACAACAAATAGAGTATAAGATTGCTCTAACCGTGTTCAAATGTGTCAACAACGTAGCTCCAAATTATATCACCAAATGCATCAACATTAAGAGTCAACCTGTACGTGTACTACGGACTGAACAAGACTATTTCCTCCTAAATGTTCCTACTGTTTCAAATTATAGTAAAACTGAGAGAAGCTTTAGTTACTGTGGACCCTTTGTTTGGAATCAGCTTCCTTAGCAATTGAGAACATTAACCGATATCGTCTTGTTTAAAAAGAGAATAAATACGCATCTCTTTGAAAAAGCATTCATATAAGTAGCATATAATAACTTTCTCATAAAACCCAAACTTCATAAAAATAAGTTCTAATGTACATATTCATGAGTCGCTTTAGATGGCTTGAACTGAATCTTTACTTAGCTGTCATTAGTTTAGTGCTCAGTGTCAACAAGAATTGTCATTATATTTTCCCTGTGATAATATTCAATTTCAAGTCAATATATCATAGTTATTGAATGCCTATATATATCCTGAAGTTAGGACTATGATTTGACCTGCCCATCCCCTAATTTTGGAAGTTTATATGCTCCTATCGTGAAAATGAGGTTAATTGAATGAAGGCTTTCATGTTATTCTGTATTATCACGTCATCTTACATCACATTATCAGGTCCAGTATATCCATAATTAAGACACCAATTGAA